AAAAATATACCTGGAAATTTTATTATTTATTACCGGTAAGGCTGTTCAAATCATTTACAAATGTTCCATCATGTATGTTATCGATTCTGATCAACTCTGTGACATCATAACACGGAATTTGTACTAATGTAAAAATAAGAAGATGCGGTATGATTGCCAATGAGACAACACTTGAGACCAAAAGACGTAGAAGATAATAATCAAAAGTGACTGTATAGACTTTTCGATGTGCAAACCCATACTGCATAGATAGCTTTTAAGGCCGCGCAATAACAAATGTAAAACAATTTAAACGAGAAAAACTAACGGCCTGATGTACGTATAAACAAAAACAAAATATGATATTTATACAATAACACAAACACTGAATTACAGGATTCTAAATCTTGACATACAGAGTGATGAGGGGTTTGTATTGTGTAACTGATAACAATCACATCAACGAAACTTCTTTTAATGACAACATGTCGAAATGTCACAAAAATAAAGGAAGCATGTATACTTTCGGATTAAAAATTCCAATTTGTCTGTTTGTCTTTTTCTTTTTTAGCTAAGGCGTTCTCAGTTTATTTTTAGATCTACTTGGTGTCTGGGACTATTATACTAATAGTATAATAGTCCCAGTTGGTGACAAGTATGTCGAATCAAAATAGAGTTTTACCTGAATACTTTTGATTGTCTCTCTGGTATCTTAATTTCGCCCCTCTTCTATGGTCTTTGCTTTATCGTACTTTATGATTGCTATCATTTAGCGATCACTATGATGTCTTTAATCATTTTTAGTTTATGTTTCTTTGTATATAGTTTCTAAATGAAAAGCAAGTTGTCCATTATCACTTAACGTAAGTAATTATACAAATAAAATAGTTTCAAGTCTAAAAAAGATTGTGTTACCTTTTATTGATCTTCCATTTTGATGTCATAGATAGCAATGTCTTCTTTTCTGACAAACTCTCACAATGAACATATTTGCATAATCATCCTTATGCTTTCGATTTATATCTTATTAACTATATTAAAGTACTGAAACTCAGTATCAGTTCTTGAAAATGACTGACTTTTGCAGTTCTGAAAAAATGACGGGAAAATGCAGCACTGAAAAATGACTGAAATTTACAGTACTGAAAAATGACTGAAATTTACAGTACTGAAAAATGACTGAAATTTACAGTACTGAAAAATGACTGAAGTATTCAGTACTGAAATATGACTGAAATTTACAGTACTGAAAAATGACTGAAATATTCAGTACTGAAAAATGACTGAAATTTACAGTACTGAAAAATGACTGAAATTTTCAGTACTGAAAACAACTTTTTCTCAACATTACTAAAAATGATATATAAATTAATGTACTGAAAATACATGGGTAAGAAATGTACTGATTAGTGATGTTTCCTAAAAGTACTGTTTATATAGCGGGATTTAATGTACTGATTAGTGATGTTTCATAAAAGTACTGTTTATATAATGGCATTTAATGTACTGATTAGTGATGTTTCCTAAAAGTACTGTTTATATAGCGGCATTTAATGTACATGTAAACGTTAGGCAAATTGTTGGTAGTGTAGGGCAAAAATGCCACACATGTGTCACGCATGTACCTAAAAACGCATGTGTCACAGGTGTGTCACATGCTTAATACACATGTTTCTTGCCACGCATGTGAATCATGCGTGGTACACATGCGTTCACATGCGTAATACACGCATGTGAATCGCATGTGTCAGAAAAACACCTGTGTCACGCATGTGTTGGAAAACGCATGTGACACATGCGATATTTGCATGTGTAACACATGTATAGTCAAACGCATGTGTAACGCATGTGTTACACAGGAAAATTTTGTTGATGTGAATTTAAGTTAAATTTTTCACATGAATTTTACGTTAAATTTTTCGTGTGAAATTCACATGAAAAAAAAGTTTAATTGTGTCCAAGTTGAAAAAAATTAACATCAAAATTAAAACTTGTTTATTAACATCTAATACCTTGTAAGACATATATTCCATTGAAAATCTTATTTTACTTTTAAAAAAATTATTTTCACATGAAACCCCCCTTTTTTTGAATGATCAATGCATTTAAATGGGGAAACATAATTGGAACCCCCCTTTTATCCTGTGTTGGGACCCTCCCCCTTTTAAAAATGGCTGGATCAGCCCCTGATTATCCTTAATTGTCACCATAATAAATGGTATTTTATCCAATCAGCTTAGGAAAATAATCGCAGTAAAAAAAGGCAAAGTAAATAAAATTGCAATAATTGTCAGATATGGGTCCAGGATCCTTAAAAAAAAGTGAGACTAGACTTGTAAAAAGTCTCTCTCTATATATAATTCCTAAAGGGAGTAGGCCAGGGGATTCTGTGAATCATCCCCCTTCCCCCATAAAATGTTCTTCTTATTTGAACAATTAAAAGTTTAATCTTTAAACATTTATTTTAATTAAGATTTTCATTGGTATTTCTTTTAATACATATACACAGGTAAAAGAAGTATGCATTTATATTGGGAGAATTTGGTGTTAATTGCAGATCTTTTGATCTTCACCACTTTGAAAAAAAATGATTTAGAACTTGGAATATCTAGATGTGTTGTGACTTGTGTTGTGTTTTTGTTATTATTGTTTGAATAACTTTCTCAAAGGTGTGTTACAATAACCTTACATCTCTTTTTATTCCTATATATCTGCCAACTATCTTGGACAAAAGACAGACAGATACACCAGGAACATATATATTGACATTAGATATACTGTTCCCAGGATACACCCAGTAGATATATTTAAGTCTTAGGTGCTTCATACAGTTATGGAACTAAATTATAAATTTGCATATTTTATTTAGTATTTTCTTATTTGTAACCCTTGTGTTACAAAAATGACTGATTGTATGTAACATTGACATTGGGTTGTACAAGTGTAAATTTAAAAATTACCTGGTTTGGTAGTTCAAACAAACGTGACCAATTAACATTGTCAATACTTGATTGTTGACCATTCTGATTATCTGTCCAAGTACAAAACTATGCTAACAAGATAATACACATGAGCATATAGAAAGTACTTGAAAAGTTTCAGAGTGTTTGGGGTAGTCTGTCCTGTTCAATACGGCTCATAAGATAAAGGGGAAAGCAACACTATTATCGTGTTTAAATCACGACAAACAATAGTCACTACATACTTTCGTCCCTTTAATTTTTAGGCTTATACAATGTACAGAATAATATACCATTATAACTTTATCATACATTTCTTCATCTTTGGTGTGGAATAAAAGCAAAGGATATAATTACCTGCTTATATTTTACTTGTGTTTCATTTGGTGGGTTGAGAGGGGTTTACTGTAACGGCGGGTATAAATTTACATAGGCGGATCCAGGGTGGGAAAAATTTGGTTGATTATATAGGGAATCACTGAAGCATGACTGGAGCGGCCCCCCTTAGGTCAGTCAGCGGGCCCCCCTTATGAAAAGTTCTGGATCACCCACTGACTTACCACCACCCTGGCACATATCAATGATCAGTGTTGGAGCTGGGACTATTGTATAATAGTCTCCATAATAGTCCCAGGTTGGAGGCATTAATGTAATTAATACCATTGTGAGGGTACTACTGGAAAGAAGTTGTTTAAGAATAGATCAACCAAGGATTTGTTTATTGGATCAACGGTGATCAACATTTTAAAACTGTGATACCCAAACAACCTTGGTATGAAATACTGTACAGAAATTCCCAGTAACCGTTGGGCTTAACATTACATAAAAACTAAAGATTGTGCCATTGACGGATCCAGAAATTTTCATAAGGGGGCCCACTGACTGCTAAAGAGGGGGCCTCCCTAGTCATGCATCAGTGATTCCCGATATAATAGATCAAATTTTTGCCACAAAAAGGGGAGGGGCAGGGTGCTCTAAATCCGCCTGTATGTGCAACACGAACCTCCAAAATACACGGGTGAACTCAAGTATTGTGAATGATAAAGTTAGGAACTTTCTGCTCAACATGTGGCAACCTAGGTTTGAGTATACATGTAATTGCCAACTTGAAATTAAGTAAGTAAAACTTTGATTTGATTCGCCATATTGGCAAACATGTGAAGATAAGATCTGGTGAGCTTTTCGTCGAATATCATGAGGAGATAGTGTTGAAAATATTTGCATAGTTCATGAGTTGAAAATTATAAAACAAAATATATTGTTTAACCTTGGACAAAAAGATCAAGTCCAAAACTGGCTGTTATTTGTGTAGGCTACCTTAATCTTGAAGAGTATGCAATTCTAAATCAAGGAGGCGGTAGGCAATTTCCTAATAATATTACAAAAGAACTTGTCACAGATTCTTAACTAAACGTCTATCAGATTAGTAAAATCAGAGACATATAATACAATATTGTATTATTTGTCTCTGGTAAAATTTCTAATTCACTGACATCTGTTGGACATAGATACTCAAATTGCAGAATCTTATTAGTAATAAAAAAAAATCTGTGTTTTCTGTGACATCATTTTGAAAAATATATGTTTATATTTTATTTATTACACTCTAACTGTCTAACATTTAATTCTCCTCTGATTAGAATTTAGAGTAATTATCGTTTGTCAATTTTCCAAACTTCCCATGCCCCCCTCAGCAGAGTTATTTAATTCTGAATGGAACAAAATGTGAATGAGTTATAAATAATATATAAATGATTGAATATTCTTTATTTAGTTTTTCTTTATTCTCAATTCTTCCAGAGACATGTATATGCTCTGAGAATAATGTCTTTGCATGATTCTTCATAATTAAGTATACTCAATTATTCTCTATGATCCTTCTTTCTATATTTTTGCTTTTCAACTATCTATATATTTTTTTTGTGTCCTTATTTAAATCCCCATTCTTGATTCCAGACTAACTCTCATATATATACGTAAACGTACGAAAGCTTGGCACGTCGAATACGGAAACCCGGAAATCTTTTCACCGTTGTCGTTTTTATACAATGACGCAAATCCATGGACGCTCGTCTGCTGCTGAATTCATGTTTTAAAAGAATGGACAAAGATAGTCAGATAGTTGATACAAAGACCTTTGATTTTTCAAACTGATGGATAAAAAGTTATTATAAACAGATATATTGAAATGGGTTAGTAACTTACATTGTCGATTAACTGAATCCGGGGAACGAAAGTCAACGCAACGAAAGTGTTTCGTTTTGATGGATTACGTACCAACTTATTGTACTTGGAAAGTGCAATGAAATGTAAATATAATCATGCGCATTTTTAGGAGGATGTTAGTGCTATACTTTTCACGAAAAACCATTTGACTTTATCCATGTCATGCATGTATAAACCCGAAAATCAGTCAAAGATTGGCAAAAACGGAAGCAAGTCAACTCGCCCCATTGCAATTGGCAAAACGCCCCATTATTTTAAAATCGCTCCACTCTTGTTTAGGGAGCTACCATTTGATTTTTATGGGAGAGGGGGCTTTGACGGAATTTGAAAAAATGCGGGACAGGAGTTTTGAGTAAAAAAATAAAAGCCAGGACCGAAAAGAATGAATAATAAACTGTCAGGACAGATATTGCAACTAAAAACAATGCAGGATAACTGTTCATAACATTTTCATCCTAGCCCCCCCCCCTCCACCAAATCAAGTGGTAGCTCCCTTCATACCAACTTGCTTGCCCCACATTAAAAAAAAATCGCCCCACTTGTGAAAAGGTTAAATATACAATGTACTCCTGCCAACAGTGGCAACTTGCCTAACTTGGGTAAAATCCAAATGAATATAATCATGATAATATATAATAAATATATTATAAACAGATAAAGGTCTACCAACTCGCCCTACATGTACTTTAAAAAAATGAAAACTTATCTACCCAGAATTAAAAAAAAAATTGAAATTTAATATATGATATTTATTGAATTTAAATGATGTTTCACTTCTTAAAATATAATTGTAGATTCATTATTTACTATTATTTAATTTATGTATTTATTGGAAAATAACTTTATTCTTGCATTAGCTTAGTTATTTGCAAAATAATTGCAAAGAAACCTGTTAATTGTATCATAATCTATCCGATTGTTTTTTAGCCGACTCAAAATCATGCTGTTAATTAGGGCCCCCTGTTGTACATGTACTTAGGAATCGGACACCTCCAGAAGATGAAAGATCTACTTTACATGTACGTAATGTAAATATAAAAATAAGAAAATGTGGTATGATTGCCAATGAGAAAAGAGAGGAATTGGTAAAAGTCCGTGAAAATTCACTTGTTTTCCAATCCTAATAAAACTGTCATATTGTAATGTTTAAATAACCTAATTATTTTCAAAATAAAATCTTGTTTACACTAATGAGAAAAGACAACTCTCCATCGGAGATCAAATGACATCAAAGTTAACAACTAGAGGTCACTGTACATCCTTCAACAATGAGCAAACCTCATACCATATAGTCAGCTATAAAAGACCCCAAATGAAAATGACAAATTTGTAAAATAATTCAAACAAGAAAACTAGCAGACTAATTTATATACAAAACAAAGAACAAAAAAAACAAAATATGATACACAGCAACAAACAACAAACTGAACCACTGAATTACAGGCTCCTGACATGGGACAGGCACATACATACAAATATGTACAGGATGGGGTGGGGCTAGACTAGTAGTTTGTGGTGCCGAACCCACCTCCTAACCTGGTATATTGATGTGAAAAGGGCTTAACTCGTCAGATCTATACAAAGTAGAAAGACATCTAACAAAACCACACACAAGACGTGGTGGGTACTTACACATCCCCACAACAAAAAAGACCAAGTTCAGATCTGAGAGTACTCCCAGTTACTAACACCTAGTTCAAAGCCAAAAACAAAGTACATTGTACATGTACAATGTATTTACCACCAAACCTTGCCTGGTTTAGTCCATTTCTCAGATACTACCTTATATAAAATAGTCCAACTTTTGGTGTAATTTAAACAACTTTGAATGACTTAAAATTTCAAAGTATCATGATTATTAATAACTTAATCCGCAAAGATTGGCATTATAAATCTTGACAGATTCAGAGATCCTGTAATATATACTGTACATGTAATCACTTTTGTTCATCCCTTCATTCAAGGGTCATATGGAATTTATATGATGGATTAGAACATTAATAAAATGATTAAATACTTTTTTGTAGTCATTTTTTTTTCAGGGAAAGTTTGTTGGTCTAGTTTTAAAAGATCAAAGTAAGCCAATTTTGCCAGATCAAAATATTAAAGGCAATTTTGGCAGATACATTGTATTATAACTTCATTTTATTAAACATTATTTATTTTAGCTTTTTCAACGAAAGTACAATTACTTTGAGAAGTAGGAGAAGCTAAGCAACAGGACAGAATTCATTTGAGGTATTGCTTTCCAGATTATATAGTGGAGTCATAGATTGTCCTATTGATTTATGTGGATATGAGGAGCAGTAGTCAATGAATAATTTTGTGATGAGAGGTATATAATGAAAATGATAACTATGTTTGAATAATTTTTTCTTGTCAGGCTCTGTACATGCAGTTTCGAAGATTTTTTTAAAAGTTTGAGGTCAAAGAGTTTAAAGTTTGATTCTTGTAATGTTGTGGGCAAGTTCGAAAATTATCCATGTTAGAAGTGACAAATTTATTTTTTTTACAGGTCATTTTTATAGAAAATTGCATTCAAAGCTCTCTTAATCGCTTGTTCTTTTTTGTCTAGCCACAACAGTTATGAAGCTGTGACTTAGGCATGCTGTTTTCAATAGAGGCATAGTCGTAAAAAAATTGTTGATATTCATGATGAGGTCAGTTTAAGGAAACCAAGAAATAAAACCTTTGCACCTTTTGTTGGCGGTATACCATCTTTTCCGCAAGTTCATTGTTTTCTGTTTAGTATTAAATTTATAATTAAGATTTATTATTACATCGGTGATCCGTTTATTTGGCAATTTATACAGGAATAATGTCACTTTGAAATGTATGAGTTAGAAAGTAAGTGCTATTAAAATTTAGGTTTACAGAAGTTATTCCGTGGAAATATATATTGTTTAATGTAATGAAAATTGCATTGCAAGCAATCCCAAACAGGTCTACATTTCTTTTAGATTATTTATGAAAATGCTTAAAAGAACAACCATATTGTATACTACAGCAAAAAAGTTTTGAGGTCGTATATTGCTATCAACTCGTCGAAGACATTTGGTTTCCGGACAATAACTTGTTTAAGTGTATGAATGTCTATGAAATTAGATTTAAAGGTTCAATACCACAAAAGGAAGGTTGGGATTATTTTTGGCGTCATGGTTCAACCAGTGTAGGAATTAGGGGCCAAAAGAGGCCCAAATCAAGCATTTTTCTAAATTCAGGACAATAACTTGTTTATAAGTATTTTAATTGCTATGAAATTGTACCACAAGTAGAAGGTTAAGTTTCATTTTGGGGGTATTTGCCCAAACCATTCAGGAATTAAAGACCAAAAAGGGTCTAAAACAAGCATTGTCAGACTGGCCTATATTATTAATGTTCCTTATGTCGTAACTACAATACCCTTCCCTTTTCACGAATGTGACTTACCGAATTAGACTATTTACCGGATTTGTAATAACATAAGCAACACGACGGGAGCCACATGTGGAGCAGGATCTGCCTTCCCTTCCGGAGCACCTGAGATCACCCCCAGTTTTTGGTGGGGTTCGTGTTGCTTAGTCTTTAGTTTTCTATGTTGTGTCATCTGTACTATTATTTGTCTGTTTGTCTTTTTATTTTTGGCCATGACGTTGTCAGTTTGTTTTCGATCTATGAGTTTGACTGTCCCTCTGGTATCTTTCGTCCCTCTTTTTATTAATTGATCATGATAAGTTGTTCTCGTTTAGAATACATAAAATATTTGCCTCTGGACATTAAAATAAGAAAAAAAGTCAATCAATTTATGTTTTTGCATTATCAGAATGAATTTGCAAATATATAACAATTAAATTATGTTGTATCCTTGGAGCTTTTTCAATGACCTAGCATATAAATATAAAAAGATGAGGTATGATCCTCAATGTGACAACTATCAATTAATAGACCAAAGGACAAAGATGTAAACATTTACTGGTCAATGTACAGCCTTAAACAATGAACAAAATCAATACCATAAAGTAACCTACAAGGATGAAAAATATAAACTACATACAGTAATGGCAGACAGCAAACAACATAAGAACCAACTTTCAAAATCAGCCAAAAAGGACTGGATTCATCAATAGGTCTTATAATAAAAAAGGTGCAAAAAACATGTTTTCCCAAACTAAAATATCTATCAGTTTACATTCAATAGATTTAGTGTAACAATGTTTCACAGTTTGTCATTTTATGCAGTCTTAAGAAAAGTATGACTGTGTAATGTCAAAATATTCAATATATCAAAAGGGTATAAAACCTATTTCTCAATGCAAGTATGCAAGGATGTACAGACAGACAAGTGTAAAACTTGATGCCCCCTCCGTTACGACAAGGGCATAAAAAAGAGATGCACAATGGGACTATGTCGGAAGTTTTAATAAATTATGAATTACATGTTTATGCAGAAAAAACACATACAAATGTGTGTTCTTGTGTGCAGATATAACTAATTCCATGTCAAAATTCCATGTATGTTTGACAAAGTTGTTGATATCCAAAAAACATTAAAAAACTTTAAATGGGGATTTTCCAGTTTTTGGACAATAACTCAAAATGTGTTCACCAAATGGCAAGAAACTTTTGTGACTTGTTTGTATCTATTGACATGAGCTCCCTTTCGATTTTTATAAATTTAAGATTTTATGTTTCCAAGTTGTGGGGTTATATTCATTTAAAAAAGGGAGATTTTCCAGTTTTCAGACAATAACTCAAAAATGCTTACAGCAGTTTTCATAAAACTTTGATGAATTGTTTATATTTATTGTCATAAGCTCCCTTTTGGTTTTTATTAATTTTAGATTTTATGTTTCAGAGTTATGTGATTTTATTCATAAATAAAATGCTCCGCAGGGCGCAGCTTGATACGACCGCAGAGGTCGAACCCTGAACAGTTGGGGCAAGTATGGACACAACATTCAAGCTTGATACAGCTCTAAATTTGGATTGTGATTAAATATTTGACACAGCATAGGTTTCTGACACAGAATGAATGTGGTCTAAGGACTTAAAAATTTTAAATTGGACATTCAACTATTATGGTCCAATATCCAAAATCTAAATACATGGTTAGATTCAGCATATCAAAGAACCCCAAGAATTCAATTTTTGATGAAATCAAACAAAGTTTAATTTTGGACCCTTTTGACCTCAATGTGGACAAAGTTGATAATGGGGCCCAAAAATCAAAAATCTAAATACATGGTTAGATTCAGCATATCAAAGAACCCCATATATTCAATTTTTGTTGAAATCAAACAAAGTTTAATTTTGGACCCCGATTTGGACCAACTTGAAAACTGGGCCCATAATCAAAAATCTAAATACATGTTTAGATTCAGCATATCAAAGAACCCTAAGAATTCAATTTTTGTTAAAATCAAACTTAGTTTAATTTTGGACCCTTTGGACCTTAATGTAGACCAATTTGAAAACAGAACCAAAAATTAAGAATCTAAATACACGGTTAGATTCAGCATATCAAAGAACCCCAATAATTCAATTTTTGATGAAATCAAACAAAGTTTAATTTTGGACCCTTTGGACCTCAATGTGGACCAATTTAAAAACGGGGCCCAAAATCCAAAAACTTAATACACGGTTAGAATCAGCATATTAAAGAACCCCAAGAATTCAAGAATAAAACCCCATTGAAATTGGTCAAGAAATAAGCAATTTATACGAAGTATCTTCTTTTGCACAATACTGTGCAATTGAATATTTCTTGCTATTGCCCAATACTGTACAATTGACAATTTCTTGCTATTGCGCAATATTGTGCTATTGGATATTTCTTGCTATTGCACAATACTGTGCAATTGAAGATTTCTTGCTATTGCGCAATACTGTGCAATTGAAGATTTCTTGCTATTGTGCAATACTGTGCAATTGAAAATTTCTTGCTATTGAACAATACTTATTTTATAATAATTTACACATCCTGTTTGGTGTGTATCTCCTACCATATCATTATTATTTGCTTTTAAATATAAAACAGAAATAACCAACTTAAAATTGAAAATTTTAAAAGAAAAAAAGAAGGAAAAGAAGAAAAAAAAGGAAAAAAAAAAAAATCCCCCCCCCCAAATTTTTTGAACCCCCTTATGATTTATCACCCCCAAACTCAATCCCAGCCTTCCCTTTGTGGTATGGTACCTTGCAGTACAATTTCAGAGAGATCCATACACTTGAACACAAGTTATTGTCTGGAAACTAGAAAAATGCTTATTTTTGGCCCCTTTTTGGCCCCTTATTCCTAAACGTTTTGGGCAATTACCCCCAAACTCAATTCCAGCTTTCCCTTTGTGATATGGAACCTTGTAGTACAATTTCAGAAAGATCCATACACTTACACACAAGTTATTATCTTGAAACTAGAAAAGTGCTTGTTTTTTGCCCCTTTTTGGGCCCCTAATTCCTAATATTTTGAGGCAATTACCCCCAAAATCAATCCCAGCATTTCCTGTGTGATATGGAACCTTGTGGTACAATTTCAGAGAGATCCATACACCTGAACACAAGTTATTGTCTGGAAACTAGAAACATGCTTATTTTTGGCCCCTTATTCCTAAACGTTTTGGGCAATTACCTCCAAAACTCAATTCCAGCTTTCCCTTTGTGATATGGAACCTTGTGGTACAATGTCAGAGAGATCCATACACTAACACACAAGTTATGTCTGGAAGTTACAAAAATGCTTATTTTTGGCCCCTTTATGGCCCCTAATTCCTTAACTGTTGGTACCATAACCCCCAAAATCAATCCCAACCTTCCTTTTGTGGTATTGAACCTTATGGTAAAATTTCATAGAGATCCATTCACTTAAACTAAAGTTAGAGTGCGAAAACCAATGTGTCTTCGGACGACGCCGCCAACGTCATACCAATATACGACTGCAAAAATTTTTTGCGGTCGTATAAAAAGGGGGATTTTCATATTTCAGACAATGCTTTGAGCAGTTATCATGAAACTTTGGTGACTGGTTTATATCTATTAAGATAACCTCCCTTTAGTTTTTCATGAATGTCTGATTATGACATTGAAAAGTTATTGAACTTTATTCTTTGAATAAGCGATTGGTGTATCATGTGCTCATGGTGCAGCTGTCTATTTATTTTGGGCCAGGTTTTCAAATTGGTCTACATGCAGGGGTTAAAATTTGCATTAAAAAATGAAAGGTCCTGGACTATTTGAAATTTTCAGTCCAGTGAAAGGTCCTCCATTTTTTTTGTCAACTTTGAAACCATTCTGAAGCGTACGAAAGGTATAAATAAAATGTACTTCTAGAATTTTATGTTTGACATCATGAGTACGCATATGACGTCACATTGTTTAGTTGCTAAAGACAATGCAAAATATTTGTTAAATGGTATTTATTTTAATATGCTGCATTAGAAAGTAGATAACTGTATTGTATTTTAAGCTTGGCCTTCATTAAACTTGATTTTACCATAGGCAGATCCAGGGGGGGGCGGCCCCCCTTTTGTGGTAAAAATTTGGTTGATTATATAGGGAATCACTGAAGCATGACTGGAGTGGGCAATTCTAAGTGACCTTAAACATATATATACAAAAGACCTAAAATAATAGTATGTGCATCTATGGGAGACTTGTATGTCACTGTTATCACACAGTGTTGTGTGGCTTCATTACTGATTAGAGAATAATCAGATTATCCTTTACTTTAAGTTCAAATATAATGTACATGTACTCAATGATTATGACTTGCCTTCATTAACTTGTAATAATTATGATGCAGGATCCAACAAAAGTATTTTTTTTTACCTACATTTTATGCATCAGTCTCACTGATTTTTTAAGTATCTTGTAAATGTATATGGATATATGTATGAATTTAGTTGTAATACTTAGTTTTGAGCCTTGCACATATATATACATCATTGTACATTGTCATAGAAGTTAAAATTACTTTGATGGCTGTCAGACAATGACAGAGTGTTTTGAAAATTGCTTCATAATGTTGATCAGATTACCTTATTTAATTAATAAAGTGTTATTGTCACAGATTTTTAGTATTTTATAAATAAGGTCTTACAATGTATGGTAGGAATGTCAATGAGAAAACATTCCATTAGTCAAAGAGGATGTAAAAAAATTTAGGTCACTGTATGACTTTCAACAATGAACAAAACCATACTACTGTAAAAGCAGAAATTTTCGTGGAGGATTTAATTTCGTTTATTTCGTGGAAAGAATATATCCACGAAAATTTAACCTACATATAATATCACTTCCATTTACTGGAAACCACGAAATTAAATCCCCATGAAATCTTGTAAAGAGACAAAACCACAGATTTTAACCCCACGAAAATTAATGTTTCTACAGTATATAGTCAGCTGTAAAAGATCCTGACAAAGTGAGTAACAATCCAATACAGAAAACTAGTGATGTTCCAATTACCATGTGCAGTATTGGTTATAATATAAAAATATCACTTGTTTTCTCTCTCTTTGCCAAGGGATAACTGTATTCCTAATTTATTCTTATTGGAAAGCAGACTGCATCAGGTTAAGATTTTATATGATAATCACAGGAATTTTAATTTTCAGAATTAGCTCCTCAGATATAAGTGGAAGGGAAGCTATATACATTATATGTTTAAATGAAATTAACAACAGGATTAGATATTGAGGAGATCCTATAGCTACAGTATATATAAATGTAACTGGTATGTATTTGTTACAGTATTTAATTTCCAAATGGTATAACAAAAATACTGAATTCCAAGGCAATTTTAAAAAAATCGTAAGGGTTCCGCAGAACCCAGTGTCTCGCCTACTTTTGCTGTTAATTGCATCATTTTCTCATCACTTGGCGTCTGTCGTCGTCCGTTAACTTTTACAAAAATCTTCTCTGAAACTATTGGGCAAAATAAAACCAAACTTGGCCTAAATCATCCTTAGGGTATCTAGTTTAAAAAATGTATCCGTTGACCCTGGCCATCAACCAAGATGGCCAATATTGCTAAAAATAGAACATGGGGGTAAAATGCAGTTTTTGGCTTCTATCTTTGAAACCAAAGCATTTAGAGCAAATCTGACATGGGGTAAAAATGTTCATCAGGTGAATATCTATCTCTGTTGAATTTTCAGACGCATCAGACAACCCGTTGTTGGGTTGCTGCCCCTGAATTGGTAATTTTAAGAATTTTTTTTCAATTTTTATATGACCACAAAAAATTATTGGTATCACGTTGTCGTCGTCGTCGCCCAACGACACTTGGTTTCCGGACAATAACTTTAGTATTAGTAAATAGAAATCTATGAAATTTAAACATAAGGTTTATAACCACAAAAGGAAGGTTGGGATTGATTTTGGGGGTTATGGTCCCAACAGTTTAGGAATTAGGGGCCCAAATAAGCATTTTTCTAGTTTCATGACAATAACTTGTGGAACAGTGTATGGATCTCTCTGAAATTATACTACAAGTTTCCATACCACAAAGGGATGGTTAGGATTGGCTTTGGGGGTTATGGCTCAAACCATTTAGGAATTGGGGGCAAAAAAGTGAGAAAAAACAAGGGTGTCCTGGTTAATGGACAATTACTTAAGTACAAATTACAGTGTAAGGGAGGTGATTCAAATACTTCTTGGAAATTTGAATTGAAATTATGACCATAACTGAGGGAAAGATTTTTTTTTTGGAAAAAGGGGGGGGGGGACAATTTTTTCTCCTCAAGATTTCAGAAATCAAAATCAAAAAGAAAATCCTTCAAATTTATTTTTTTTTTTAAAAGGGGATGGAGGTCAATTCGCAACAGCATAGTGTATTACACAAAAGCAAAATTTTGAATATAAATTGAAATCATATAACCAATTCAAAGTTCTTTGACTACAGTTATTCTGTGTCAGAAACCTATTATGTGTCAAATATTGAATTGCAATCCAAATTCAGACCTGTATCAAGCGCGAATATTGTGTCCATATTTGCCCCAACTGTTCAGGGTTGGACCTCTGTGGTCATATCCAGCTGCGCTCGGCAAAGCAATTTATTGGTTATTATCTTGAACATTATAATAGAGATAAACTGTAAACAGCAATAATGTTCAGCAAAATAAGATTCACAAATAAGTCAACAGGATCAAAATGGTCAATTGACCCCATAAGGAGTTATTGCACTTTAAAGTCAAATTTAACAATTTTTTCGTAAATTTTTGTAATCTTTTACAAAAGTCTTTTCCTGAAACAACTGAGACAAATTTAACCAAACTTGGCCATAATAAGCATTAGGGTATCTAGTTTAAAAATAGAACATAGGGGGAAAAATGCAGTTTTTGACATATCTTTGAAACTAAAGCAAAAGTATATCGGTTGCATTATTTCATGCATCAATTGTAAAATAAAAAAAATATCAGGTGAGCGACACAGGCTCCTTGGAGCTTTTAGTTGGTATTGTAATTTAAATGAGGTTAAGACATGTAAGAAAGGGGCTTGAAAAATGAGGAATTGTGTTTCTACAAGCACTTAGTAATCTAGATCTATAATACTTAAATAACAAGGTCCAATTTGTGAGCCGGCATGACATAAAAATGACGATTCAAAGAATTCAACTTTATTTATAACTTATATATATAGGACAATGGTGTTGATTAAAAATTACACCATTCCAGGCCCATTTGTTTTCCACATAATTATTACTACAGATAATTAACAAGTTCTGGGTCCAAGGGTTCAAAAAGAAAGATTTTGAAAGCAGAGAAAACTGTGCACCTAATGACCAGCATGACATTAATAGATGACAAAACGAAAAATCTTAAAATTCAGGCTAAAAATAAGGCTACGGTACTTTGCTTCAGTCACAACACCATGATGTCCCGGAGTATTCTAGTATATATTATATATACATGTAATGTGTAGTACACATGCATGAATAGAGTTAGTTTTCATTATTACGGTAATTTATGTTGATAAAAATGAGAATATGTAGTATTATTGCCAATGAGACAACTATCCACCAGAGTCCAAATGACTGAATGTTAGCAACTATAGATCACTGTATGAACAGCTTTCAACAATGAGCAAAACTGATACTGCATCTAGCAAGCTATAAAAGGTCCTGAAATTACAGATGTAATACTATTCCAATTTACGTAAAAGACATTAAACGAAAAATAAATATGATAAACAACAACTATTATATTCCACTCCAGTTGTTCACACGATATATATATATATATATATATATATATATATGTAAGTTTGGTAAATCATTGGAGATTAAATTGATGTTATCATTTTTTGCCTGATTGGTAATCCAATATTTGATGTATGTTTTACAAAAAATATATGCTGTTTTTGTCTCGCTTGACAGAGTCAAAAAGCGAGGCATAGGTATGCTGTTTCTGGCGTTGGTGACGACAGCGGCGTCAACAATGTATTAGTTTGTGATTAGGTCTAGTTTATAGTGAACCACAAGTAGTAAGTCGAAGATATTTGGTATGCAGTTGTATTAGTATTGGCACATCTCATTACCATGGAGATTATTTGGCCCCGCCCCCTCAGTTATGGTTTATTGACTTAATTTGAAATTCTTGCTTAGTCTTCATGTATTAGTTTGTGATTAGGTCAGTTTATGGAGAACCACTAGTGATAAGTTAATTATGATTGGTATGCAGTTGTATAAGCATTGGCATATCTCATTTCCATGGAGATTATTTGGCCCCACCCTCTCAGTCATGGTCTATTGACTTTTAAATTTTTGCTTAGTTTTCATGTATTAGTTAGTGACTAGGTCAGTTTATGGGGAACTACTAGTGGTAAGTTCATGATAATTGGTATGCAGTTAAATACGCATTGGCATATCTCATTTCCATGAAGATTATTTGGCCCTGCCCCTCAGTTATCGTTTATTGACTTTAAAATTTTCTTAGTTTACATGTATTAGTTTGTGTTTAGGTTTTTAAAGGGAACTACTTATGATAAGTCAATGGTATTTGGTATGCGTTGTATTAGCATTGGCACATCTAATTTCCATGGAGATTGTTTAGCCATGTACCTTTAGTCATGGTTCATTGACTTTGAATATTTGCAAATCTTACATCTTAAAGTGTTGCTATTTTAATTTCAACATTTGCATTATCGAAATTACTTAAAAGCGAGACATATCTCTGTGATTACAGTTTATTTTTTTTATTACAGCAACTGTATTCCAAGAGTCTGATGGCTGATAATGTATTACAGGATTTTATCATTCAAGCAACATCTTAGAAGGATAAGTGCAAATGTATGAAGGAAGCCTTGGGTACAAATAGCAATTACAGCAATTACATGCAGGAGAGAACTCTTAACATTACTAACAGACATGTAGTCATTATATGGGAGTGGTGTATTCAAGAAATCTAAAACACATGGAATTAAATATCGTGTATATTTTTTCAACCACAAGTACTCTCAGAATATAATACAATTCAAATTCAAATTATTGTGCCAACATGACAATTACAGTCTAAAAATGGAAAATGCATGTTTTAAACTGATTTTTATATAAATATTTGAAATAACAAGAATTTTTAGTTTATTGTGCAGCCAAACTTTGGGATCTTCTAATGGTATATGCCTGTTGTTTGTCAACATTTGTTTTCTTTTTGCCTTAACCTTAAGATTGGTGTTAAAATGAAAAACTGAAATAGATATATGAAATAAGAAGGAAATGGTTGTAAATAACAGCAAGACTTTCAATATGGTATATCAAAATATATTTCACAGAACTTTCTATTTCAGTTTATTAATACAATGAGATATGAGGTATAAATAAATCAGACAGCTACACAACAAAAACACATGAAAGGCATTAAGGTGCTAACATACAGTCCTCAACAATGAACAGGTGTCTAAACAATGTCATGATCTACTTAATTAACCAGAGTCTATACCAATCAAAGAGCTGCCATCAACACCAAATCCTTTAAATATTTTTTTTTATTAGGATGAGACTTAGACAACCACTGAAAAGGTTCCTGGCTTGAAACAGGCACAGGAATATGTGGCAGGGTGAAATACTTTTTTTCTTCAAAACTTTCAAAAGAAAAATTGGCATCTTTTGCAAGTAAGACTATTTCCATAATGGGATTGGATTGTCTCATTGCTGATAACCACAAAATGACTTGTACATACATATTAAAATTTAAAAATGAAATATACATTAGTGCATACATATTCTATAAATGAATCCCCAATCCTTACATGACTTTTAAAAAAAGTATTGAGACTTGAACATAACCAAAAAAATTCTAGGAGTGAACTAAGGTGACCTGGATATTTGCTTGCCTTCTTTGTTTTATTGCATCTTATCTCTTGCATTGGAGATATTGTGAGTTGGGAGTTGATAGATAAATATTTTTTGTATTGTTTAGGATCAAGAAAGTAAAATATAATGGAAGTATGAACATATAGTCAAGACCAAGAAGAATATTTATATATCAAAATAGAATGTGTACTAGATTAGCATTAACTTATCTAAAATATGCTCAAATACTGTGAATTTGTGTGATTGATGCTCAATTCACCTTAATTTCATTTTGCCTGTGTATATATAGAGAAAACACATGTATAACGCATGTGTTAGAAAAATGTGTTAGAAATTGCATGTAATTCACATAAGAACTGAGAAACATGTCAACAATCATGGTAATTGGACAAATAGGAGGACATTTTGAAAAATATTTAATACAGGCACCATGCCTTTTACATGTAGTAATCACGCATGTATCACAGGTGTATTTCCTTACGCATGTGATTCACATGTGAAACGCATGATCACATGTGTGTATCATGCTTATCACATGTGTTTTTCACACATGTGTCACATGCGTGGCATGAAACGTCTCTTTCACATGCGTGTGACACGCATGTGAAACGCATGTGTCACGCATGTACACATGTGTGGCATTTTTGCCAGTGTACGAGCATGTGAGCTAATATGTATATATAAATTTTAATTAGATTATCAGGCTAAACTGTCCTCAAATTAATTGGGCAATTATGGTCATGTCGCTCCTAATGTTTCTATGTATCTATCAATCCCTGGCATTCAAATGTTTAGGCTTGAGCGTTCCTGATGAAGGTCAAACAAAAAAGCGCCACCGAATGAACGAAATGTTTAAAATATTATTTTTATTTTACAATTCTATTAAAAAAAAAATCTAAAAGTTTATTCAAATATGAAATTTGCAAAATAATTCGTCGGGATTTTGCCAAGATACACTTATCGCGTTTAATAAAAAGTATACATAACGATAACTAAATAAATATTTGTCATCGAGCTTTTTCAAAGTTCAGGTATTGGTACATGCCCCTCTGTTGATGGACGGTTCGGTATATATTACCGTAGTTACATTTGGCAATGTTCTGAATTTTCGACTTTTAAGATTTTTCAACTTCTTATTATATTTGGCCTTCCAACTGTTTTGATTCGAGTCCTATTTAAACGAAATACGCGCCTAGCGTACCAAATTGATAAGTCTGGTAACTTCTATCAGATGTTATCAAGATTATACGAACATAGATGAAAAAGGGAGGCGAAAGATACCAAAGGGACGATCAAACTCATTAGCCGAAAAAAAATCTGACAATGCCATGGCAAAAAAAGATCGAAAGACAAACAATAGTATACAAAAACAACATAAAAACCGAAGACTGAGGAACACGATCCCCACCAAATACGGGGTGGAGTAGGACCTCAGGTGCTATGGAAAGGGTGAGCAGATTCTGCTTCACATATGGCATCCGTCGTGTTGAAAAAAAATGATTGCGTAAAAATAAAAAAAAAGATAAAAATCCTAATATACTATTTCAGATATTAATTTTAAGATACAGTTTATATTGGAAACTGTTGTAAAATTTATAAAAAACAAACAGAGTAAGTTTCTATCATGATTTAAATATAGTATTCAGTATGTATATTTTGGGGAAATAAAATATGAAATTTGAAATTGAATGTCATTAGGACAAACACAAAAAATGAAAGAATTGACATAGTTACCATTGTGAACGTTCAACAGACGTATTTTAAATACACAAAAACTACTGTCACAAAGAAATTGCGATGTTACATATAATACACGATTTTCATAGTATATTATTTCAAAGAACTTTTCACGTTTCTGAGGAAGTTTTTTCTTACTGACTTGTACCCCTGCGTTGTGAAAGCAAGGCTTAACACAGCCTCTAAACTAGGACGGATATATCTCAATCAAGCTCTACAACCACTTAAACTGTGTATTGCAATTTAACATAATAAAAGATATAATTTTGTTTGCATATTATGAAAGTGGCAATGACGTCTTTACCATGTGTCCGTTAAGCCATACAATTCTTCAATAAACAAAGGCCATTTGCTGAAATAAATGATATTTGGACTTAACAATTCTTGGCATAACACACCCCCGACCTCCACCACATAACCTGAAAATTATGACAATATGTCACAAACAATCAACATAGAGAGACACCAGTCCTATCTATTGTTAAAGACTTTATATTGTCCTTGAAATGTGTTTTGGTTTGGGTTTTTTTTTTTGCCATATGTTTACTGTCTCATTATATCCCACGGAGGATTATAAGAAACGCATAAACTTATAAGCAGTTGTTTATTTGTTCGTCCTGATCTTTCTTAAAGGTTTTTGTTCTGTCTAACTCATTCGAATATGACTATATCTTCCGAACAGTGAGTCCTAAAACATATTGTACCCATATCTCCATAAAGATTCCTAAATATTCAATATTATATTAAATATGCGTGTATGTGTTGTTTTTAGAGACTTCAAGATATTTTTTTTTTATTTTTTTTCGACATGTAAAATTCCTTTGTTTAATATTCTATTTTTCTGTCTGAATTTTTTGGTTGTTACAGTTTTTAATAGGTCATTTTGTATGTAAAACAATGTTCATTCTGTTTACCAAGTTATATTCCCCTGCGACTAATCATGAATTAAAACAATATTTTGATAGCTTGCAAAAAAATTTATTTTCATGAGCATCATTAAACATGTGACAACATATCTCGAAAAAAATCCTTACAAATCTGCACCGTTTTTCATTCGTTGAATAAAAGTGCATTGATTTTACAGGTGTACGTAAATTACAAGCGAGCACAAATTCAATATCAAAATTTAAAATCTAACAACATATTACAACACGTTTTGTAATATCATTATAAATAAATGTAATCTTGAATGCTAATTTGGAAATTAAGAGTTATTTCTCTTGAATCACTGTTGATGCCCGAACAACAACATGTTTTTTTCTACTTTCCTTACTTTTCTTACATAGTATTAATCTACTATGAGAATAAATCTCCAAAAATTCAAAAATGCAGCTAAATATACTACCAATAAAAGAAAAAAATAGCTTTTCAATTCATTAGGGAATAGTGCATACTATCCAGATGAACGATTTTGAATGTTGAGTTTACGGGGGAAAATGGCGTTTATACGCACATCTATGTATACGCAAACTATGTAACCTTAAATAAAACACCAATAATTAATATATCACACCAAACTTATAAATCTACAGATATCAATTTTGATTATAAGTTATAAGTTACCAATCAATATCCTATAAATGTAAAACAAAGAAGATAATGTTGTTTCCTGATATACACCGTCATGTTCCAATCATTCAATAATTGTTAGTGATGAAGTAATGCATCCAATAATTACATAAGCAAGGGCCAGCCTCTATGTATTTTTATGATGTTGATATGAATATTGTTATAAACATACAAAGATACATGAATACAGTATTCATTATGCAGATGATTAAACATAATGTCATTCCAATCAATCTTAAAAGCAATTGTGAAATACATACTTCAATAGCTGGTTTATTTTTCTTTTGAATTGGATTAAATCCAACAATGTTCATTGGAAAAATAGAGAATTATTATCATTATGAGGAATATTATCAAGGGTTAATTGATTCTCTTTAATCTTTTATGAAATATATAACCTGAACAAACGATACTTCATACAGCATTTCAAGTAAAATGTTTTTTTTATATTTCTTCTTCTTATCAAAATGAATTACAAACTAGGGTTTAAATTTTCAAATTCACCTTGCCAACCTGAACAAATTTCACAATAATAAAATATTTTTAAAAATGAAAAAAAGAACAATAAGCAAACATATTAAAACAAAAAAATATCTTTATCCCGACTCTTCATTGAGATCCGGTTCATCAGAAGTTGAGATCCGGTTATATGACATAAGAACCATTGCCAATTCTTTTTTGTTGATCTTACCATCGTGATTCAAATCACATTTTTCCAGCAGTATCTCTTTGCATTCAAGTAGATCCTCTTCGTCATAATCCTGACAAAGGTAGAAAGCAAGGTTAGTTTAATTTAATTTTTATTAATTGATAGATATCCTACAAATGTACATCAACAGAGATCATATCTTTGTACGAAATGCATCACTACAAATGTAGTGAGCTTGACTATTCATCCACAAACAAATATTTATAATACGCAGTACGAGAACAAATATGAAAAAAACACTATATTATTTAACTATTCTAATTTTTTTCTATGGACCACGGTGGCCAAGTGGTCTAAGTAGTTCTACTACTGTAATCACTAGCCAGTCAACACTGAGGTTGTGAGTTCGAAACCCTCTCGTGCGGGTGCACTCGACTCCAATCTTAATTGACTAGGATTGTCAGTTTTCCTCTGCCCCTTCGTATGGTGTTTACATATCTCAATTGATAAGTTATTCTCGTGCTTGTTCACACTATACGGACTTCATATACAGGAGTCTGCTCCTTACACAGAAACTGCTCCAACAAAGTTATGAGGAGGACAGATTAAAAATGACACTCCGTACATTTTACGGACACCATCACGAATTGGTTAGTCCATACGATGTGTCTTTGTCCAAACTAACTAAGGACATTTTTACCACGTGTTAGATTGTGGTTTGTCATTACGTCGTCTGATCTTTTAATTACCGAACGTGACTTATTCCCGATTGTGACTGTTTTGCTGAGTGTGAAACCGCATTGCTATAAGACGTGTCACGGTACCCTTCTATCCCAAATTCATGTATTTATTTTTGATGTTATATTTATTATTCTCATCGGATTTTGTCAAATGTCTTAACGTCTTTTCTGTTATATTCGTGTGTTATGGTAAAGATAAGTAATCACCCCCTTGATTTATTAGATTTTAGTTTGGTTATACGATATATTTGGTTTACAGTTTGATTCAGAAGAAACACCGACATAGCTAGATAATACAATTAATTATCTAATTACTACCACAATTTGATATAAATCAGTATTGTAATTTTCATTGTTATTAATAAATGTAATGTCAGTATAAATCTAATCTTGAATCAATCCTAATCCTATCTTATTTTTGGGAAATATTTTTATAAATTCAAATGTGACGTCACTTTGTGCGTTGATGCTTTGGCTAACTCGGCTGTGTATTTTTATATGTTGGATTAAATTGTTTTATGTAATGTATCCGTTTTTATTCTGTAGTTAGTCCCCACTCCGGTTTTATCATGTATATCTATTATATAGTCATTTTATAAAATTTACTGTTTGCAAAATTATAAATTATTCTAAATGATAAGGATGTTCTTGTCCCAGGCAAAAAACCCTGGCCGTGTTAGGCGCAACATTTTGGAAGTTTTGGTCCTCGGTGCTCTTCGGCTTTGTACTTGTTTTGGCTTTCAAGCTTTTTCACCTGAGCGTCACTGGATGGTCTTGTGTGGACGAGACGCACGTCTGGCGTATTGAATTTTAAGCCTAGTACCTTTTGTTAGCTATTATTCGTGTGTTTCTTTGTCCTATATGTTCTCCCATTTATTTGTATTGTGGTCCTGTCATGTGATGTTGTCGCGTTTTGGTGTTGTGTTTGACGTTGCCATTAAAGCGGGAGGTTTGGCATGCCACAAAACCAGGTTCAACCCACCATTATTTTTCTTAAAATGTCCTGTACAAAGTCAGGAAAATGGCCATTGTTATATTATAGTTCGTTTCTGTGTGTGTTACATTTTAATGTTGTGTTTTTGTTGTGTCGTTGTTCTCCTCTTATATTTGATGCGTTTCCCTCAGTTTTAGTTTGTAACCCGGATTTGTTTTTATCTCTATCGATTTATGAGTTTCGAACAGCGGTATACTACTGTTGCCTTTATTTTCCTATCGAAGGTCGGTGGTTTTCTCCGGGCACTCCGGCTTCCTCTACCAATAAAAACTGGCCGCCACGAAATAGCCCAAATGTGGCGCTTAAAAGTGGCGTTAAAACACCAACAATCAATCAACTTTATGGATCACTTTACAGTCATGTCAGTGCTATACTACCGTTGTCTTTATCTAATACAATGGGGCATATGACGAGTATTGAGATAATCTTGATTGATCTTGACTAGTATCGTATATACTCATCGATATTAAAAGATGTAATTTTTCTTGATTCGCTCATAGCATGAGTATTAAACGTTTGCATGTGTTCTCAGTGCTCACTGTTGTGAGGCCAGATAATTTTACCTCCCGATCACCAATAATTAGGAAACATATTACATACATATAGAAACGATTTTAAAAATATGATTGGAACTGAATACTATAATCATATAATTATTGGTTGACAATTTGGAAAACTATTTATATCATTATATGGTAAAACTTAATTTATATATTTTTTCATATTTTCAATCAAAATAAGTTTGTTTTCTCGCTACGTTTCACATCATTGGCATTCAAAACTTTTCGTGACCTGGTGAAGATGTATAAAATAAAGAAGCATATTTTCTTGTAAAAAAATATGTTAGCATTATTATGCTTGTCCATTTTATCATAGCTTATTGTAACAACTCCTAATTCTACTATCCTACATCTACTTCTGGTCTATAAGTGATTAAAGGCTAAACAATTGTTATTGAGACTTAAGTTCAAGTGCGGTTTTTAAATAGAAACTTTGTAAATAAATAAATTGCATTATTTCAAAATCTCCCGTTTAATAAAGGTCAATATCGACGATACATCAATTGCGCTAGAACATAATCATATATATATTTCCGTTGGTTTGAATTTTGTCATTCAACAGTAAATAATTACATTACATGTATGTTTCATTATAATACGTTATTTTGATTGGCTAACAACAATCTCGCGTCATTCTGGAATTAACATTCATTTCAAAATGAAATGGTACATTCATGATGACACGAGCTTCCACAATGAAGTGCACAGGTAAATAAAAGAAAAACTTGATAGAAATCGTGTTTTCATGATCCTAGCAAAAAAATGTAATTATAAGTATTGAATGATTCTTTTAGTAATTTTATAGGGTTGTAAAAGCGTTGACCGTGCGCACATTTTTAGAATGAAGCACTTCCGCGCTTCATACAAAATGTATGGTCAACGCTTTTACACCCCAATACATTTTAAAAAGAAGCATTCAATTCTTAAGTACACTAAACATTTATCAGCTTGTATTTCAAGCAATAACAACTGTCGTTGAATGAAAACGTGAATCCATAAATAGAAAAATTCCCAATCCTTTTTCATTAAGACATGAATAATAACCAAGTTGGTGTACGAGCAGGTTGCCTAAAGTCAACTAAATTGGGTAGATCATAGCCTAAGGAAGGAAAAACAACTGTCACCATTAATCTAAAAACAAATAAATCAATACCATACCTTTGGGTTCTGTATCAAATAATTATTTACAATTATGAAAATAAAGATATGAACACTTGTGTATCCCTTATATAACAAATTTAACTTCACCTCTTATCGCTTTGGAGTTTCCTTGGAGTTCGGTATTTTTGGTATTTAAATTTTCAATAACTGTGAGTTTTATAATAGTGTTGTTATGTGCATTTTATAATTTATGTAGTATATGTCTGAATAACACTTCCGATATGCTTTATGTTAAAAACCTATTGTGTGAGTATAGATGTTATGTTTGAATATCTTTGTTGTAACATTGCTGTCATATGGTAACATATTCTCTTTTACCTCTTTTAAAAAACACAATACTATATTTCCATGAGGAACAACAAATAAAACCATTTATGTAGCAACTTATATATGACAATCTCCCTATACAGTATGTACACCTGTGATACCCTTTTCATTGGAGATCGAATCGATACGTTAACCATATATAATTAATAATTAAGTGAGCAGACATCATCTATATGGCGGACCATTAAGGTACAGGAAAATGTTAGCTTTCATGCATTCTCCTTGAAAAGCTCATGTATAAAGCTAGCCTCATATGAATAAAATAACAAGACTTAACGAAAAGGAGCACATATGTTTTTCATAGGAATGACAATTGTCTGTTTAACAATACGTTCTCCAAGCATTACAAATACATTGTCAATTAAAATATCAAATATCTAGATGATAGAAGTTTCAGAGAGCTTTCGGCTTAAATCAGGGTGGGTCTTTTTTTTTTTTACAAAATTTATTTATTTGAACGAAAACATTTTGAAGGCTTAAATAGTATTAAAAGGTTTTCCCATAATACAAATTATTTCATTTCCATATAGATTAAATACATCGCTATGAAATATATGCCAGTCAATTGTTGTCTGAATTCACGTATCATGCATTAGCAATTCTGATTTCATTGTTAGGCAATATTCGATCACTGAAAACATTTAAATCGTTGTTTGACGTATGATAAGCGTACTGGTGTGTCCACACAAAGCCTTATATATCAATAAAAACAAACCCATTGATTAAAAAATATATGTGCTATGCAGATTCTTTATTTTTACATACGAAGTGTCGTATATAAAATTTGGGAGAACAAGAACAAAATAGAACAGGAAAATCATGCAAGGTCGACTGGTAAAATCAATCTGAACGCGAATTTTATAAGTTGTCTAGCCATATATATCATTCATATGAAATAGAAGAAATTGTAAGCTCAAATAAAAATTTAAAATAATAAAAATTCCGGGCTTCCAAATTCAACTCATTAATCATTTCTCAGTATATGTTTATGTTTTTGGGATGAACATATATGATTGTTTAATGTAAAACTTTAACGTAGTGTAAAACCGAACAAAGTCTGTACATACTTCTTCTACTAATTCCATAAGATCCTTCAAGAACCCACACAGTTCTTCATCTTCAATGTTTCCATTATTATCCTGCAAAACACCAATTAGTATAAAGTTAATGAGTGAGAGAGTTGGTATCAATATACATAAGAAAAAAATAATGTTAGTGAATTTATGTTTTCTATAAAAAAAAAAGAATGCTAAAAAAAAGTATTAGAGTCAGTATTTATCATTTTACGCGATTTTATTTTATAGTACAGGACTATTATACAAATATTTCTGCTAATATCTGCTAATATGACAAAAATAATAGTTGAAATACAATGAGCTGTCATTATATGAATGAATTGGATTCAAGAGTCTAAGACAAAAAGTTTGTCAAGAGACATACACACTTGTTTATATATATTTGATGAGGTTTTAGCAAAACGGCATTGTTTAGCATACTTCCCAACAATTCAAGCTAATTAATAAACATTTTTTTTTAATGACCATCAGAAGACAACATATATTAGTATCACTGTTATAAAATATACAGTAAATTGATTAAAATAGTGGAAAGTTATTGTAGATAAAAGATTTTTATACATAAAAGAGTATTTATTTTAAATTAGAATTTAATCGCAATGTTTCCATTCTGACACATCTGCTTATTAAACAACCATGTACAGTATATCAGATTACAGTTTCATATACTTACACGATCATATAAAGAAAACACACGATCTATATCATCTGTCGTTAATCTATTGGCGTTCTGTTTAAAATATAAAAATAAAACATTTACTTTATAGCTTCATAATTTTTTAATATTTCTTTGGCAAAGAACAAAGTATATCTTTTCTTGTATTTACTACTTTTAAGTTTAAATATAGTCGACGATCTTTCATTATAATATTAGTTTTAATTAACAATGCCAATGTCATCGCCATTTGGTTCTCAAAAGGTAAATATCATTCCTTTTGATGTAAATTTACTTGAGAACTCTGCAGATACCAAACTCTGTACATGTATTTAATGCTAGCTACAAAATGATTTTCGTCTTAAAAAGTGTGAAAGCGGTACTTAATATATGTTATTGTTCTTCGTATGAATAAAATATTTGCTGGAAAACGTGCAATACCAAACACTGTATACACCGACATCACTTTTTTTGTACACTTCTCCTACACTGCCATATGCATAAGAAATTTACGGATAAGTTGCAAATCAATAAAAAGAAATAGATTATATGCAGACAATTTTGACAATTTATTAATATATAAAATTGTATTAAAATGATAAAAACACCTCCATCCATTCCGCAGTATCTAAATATAATAATATATTCTGCTTCTACAATAGTTTCCTGTCGATATGGTTAATACAATCTTTATTACAAAGTTTAGTGTGACATTGGTTATTAAGTATAAAAATGGTTATGTGAATGCTTTAAAAGATTTGTGTAGCTGTTTGTCCCTAGACTGACAATAACAATTCGTTTTTATCTTTCAATACATATTAAAAAAAATACATAAAAAAGATATATTGTTTATGTATCCATGTTATATTTGTGTACAACATATATAATTTTAAACGTGTTTTAAAAGGAATATCGAACAATCATCGTCGTCCGTGCGGGAAAACAATACTACAGTTCTAAAGAAATGAAGCACAAATTGAGGTATTGGTTTGTTGAACAAAGACAAATAAATGAATATAGAATTTGCACATAACAGGATATTATTTATATTCAGACCAATAATAGTAAAATTCTTACTTGCAATAAACGAAAAATAAGTTTGCTACTAAACTGGGGTTTACAAAAATTATATCTTACGTATTAGAGGGAAACATTTTAATCTTTGTAGTTGGGGAAATGATTAAATTGCCAATTATCCCATATATGAAACCTTTTAGAACGTATTGTCCTTTAAAGCAAATTATAAATGGCAAGAGTACAGCTATTTATGAGATGCGTAAGTCGTTATAATGCATACGGTACAGTATACCATAATTGATAAGATAGTATCTTTCACTCGTGCTACGTACGAAAAATTGTTAATTACTCAAACCACTTTTCACCTTTGTTAAACAGGACATAAATATTAAAAATATATATATCCCATTTTAAACAACTACAAAATATATGAATAATATGTTCGTCTTGAACGATATTTAGCACAAAATATTTTCCTCAATGTCAGACAATGTTGAATTTTACTATTATTGGTACTTGTATCAATAGATGCGGTCTTTGATCGTGTACTTACTTTCCGAATTGACAAAAATTAAGGAATTGTTGTTTAGTTGAAAGTAATTTGATATTTTTCTGCAATGCATATTTATTTTCCCGTTGGTTGTATTCTAATTCGTCAAGTGAAATAAAAATCTATTGCTTCTCTTTGTGCGATGGAAATCTTAGTTTTGTATGTCAGAGTATGTATGGACAAAAGAAGAACTACTTTAAATAAGTACCTTCATTCTTTAGACCTTTCATCGTTGATTTCTAAAAATCATTTAATTGTCATATGATTCCCTTTCACTTGGAACTAATTAATTTTAAGCGTCAAAATAAATTTCAATATAAAGAAGAAACCACTATAAAATCAATCTGTTTTTATGCTATAGTACTTATTAAGATATTTTGCATCGGTCTACTATTCAAGACGAGCAAACATCATAGAACGTCATCACTCGAATTTTTCGAACTAAAAAAAAATAAAACTGGCAGAAAGTTCCTAAGTGCAATTGTTTTTTTTTTTCAAAATGTGTTTACATCATTTCCCATCTGTATCAACATATCGTAATATGAATATTTGAATACAAAAAAGTATGTACAGTATACGTCAATAAGACAGCAACCTTACAACACTATAAATAATAAAAAAACAAAAACTAAGGAATGTAATGATAAGATTTCCTATTAGTCGACTTCAGTTCAGAATTATTTTATATGAAAACAAGGAGATGTTGTATAATTGCCAATGAGACAACTATCCACCAAAGTTCAAATGAAGTGGATGTCATCTATTTGTTGGAACATAGAGCAATATCAAATTTTGCATAACATTGTTTTCCTTTTGTGTATCAACACTTAGATTTGATATAAAAAAAATTATTACAACACCTTTGTCTGAGAACATTCATATTTCGTCGGAACGCAGTCCAACTCAATACATTAAGGTTTTAATTTGTACAAACAAATGCTTAAAACATACTAATTTTAAGGGTTTCTCGTTTCCTGTAATATTTACGTGATAACTCCTTTTATTCTTTTTCTGCATTTACCTAATTCATGAAAAACGGTTAATAAACTAACATCATGAGAAACAATCCTTTTGTCGAATAAGATTAGAAGCGGGAAATATGCATGCATAAAAATATCCAAAAATGTGCAGTAATAGAAAAATTCATTGTTAATCAATTGTAATTTTCGCAAATATATATAAGTGTGTTTTAAAAATACAATTATTTCAAATTATGTAAAAAAAATACATTTTGGAAAATCTAAGCTACATGTATATGTACTGGGATTTATATAATAATTGATAGTAAAAAAAACCTCAATGCATAAAGTGCTAATTACGAAGTAACGGTAAATCACCGACCAATAAAAACTCTAAAACCCATTTGAATTAACAAACAAGAGAAAAAACTTAAGAAGCAGAGCAACACTGGTGTGTCGACAGAATTGGCCTCTCCTTCTATCATGTACCCTCAATCATAAGTCTAAATTGTAACAGTATGTAACAGTACACAATCGGTTAATTAACAGATCAGACAACTACTGAAACTAAAAGGGTCTAGAAGTACTTTCCTACATAGGCTTTCATAGTGATACCGCGGAGCACATGTTAGCTCCTTGGTGACAATGCCCATTGCTGGAATCTAAAAAACGTTTTGCTTCCTGAAAATATCGTTTTTGCCATTATACCTATCTGTACCAAGCTTTGATTGGTGCGTCTAGGGGGGAACCCTACTGATTTTAAGGTCAACATAGCAAAGGTATAAGTCACAACAGCAATTGCAAGAATGAAATTTTCGTGGCAATATCTTCAGAGCCATAATTCAGATGTTTACCAATCAAGACTGAAATTTCGTACAAATTTCAGCATGCGATATGGATTTATTTTTAATCAGTTACAGTAGCTGCATGTTTGAATTGTTCAACACGAACGAAATTGATACCACAGTGTAAACATTCCCTCAACACCCGCTCAGGGGGTAGCATACATCGATTTATAATTTACACGCCTACATGTTCACTTTACATAACAGGTTTTATGGTCACTATTGCGAATCGGTTGCCTGAAACGATGTGTCAGTCTCTAAACTCACTGGATACATGTTTTCACAGTCCTTTGTATTATGATACCAGAACCGTTATCTTGTCCATGTTATTTCCTCTCTCGTGACAATTTCATTTCAATTGAGATTTAAACTAGAGTTTTTTTTTTCTTTGTTTGCATATTCAAAATGGAATTCTGGTTCTTGAACATCGGTGAACTACTGTTCCTTTATTTTAATGCATTCAAAATTGCGATTTTAATTGTTAAAATGAAAATAATGAAAATTAAAACTCGTGAAATCAATGAGGCTAAATAGAATATTATGTTTTGAACATACGAAAAAAGAATCTTCTCAATTCTTGATTAACGGAATAAAGTTAAAAAAACAGTGATAAATAAAATAAATGTACATTGAATGTAGTAACAATGTAGACAACACAATGTCATTAGCTGAAAAGGTTAAGCACATGTTCATGCAGCTCACCATTTTCTTCCCCAAAGTCAGCTAAATTTTAAATTTGTAATTTTTCATATTTTTTACACAGTTAAATAAAAACTACAAAATCTGCATATGTTGTTATGACATTATGCTTTTTCACACTCTTATGTTGCGCTATCGAGACACTGGTCCTGATCTAATTTTGAATATGGCTACCTTGATAATTAGTTCGTTGCACAACTGTTGCATAATCGGTGGTTTTGTTTCATTCCTTACTTTTGTCGACGGTACTGACTGATCTAGTGAAAAATACTTTCGTTTATATCAACAAAGCAGTATTTATCCATCTGTTGCATTTTTCATTATTGATATAAAGTTATTCAAGCATTTATACCTACATACAAAAATATTTTTTGATCAACAATTCTCTTCGAAATTTTAGTATGTCAAATGAAGATGACTCAAACATATCAAAAGCGAAAAAATCAAGACAACATTTAACACTTCATAAGTTAACGTCCATTTTAATGCCAGTAACAACCTGCTATGAATTGAGATACAAAAAAAAAATTGTAATGGTAGCCAAAATATTATTTTAAACGTAGAAAGAAAAGTGATGAACACATACAAGAGGTAAATAAAGAACTGAAATTACTAAAAAAAGGAAACATCAGAAAGTCATATTGTTTTTTCGACAAGATTTATTTGAATAGTTTTGAATATAATTGTTTAGCGTGTATTTAGATATAATGAGTTGTGTCGTTTACGATGTATTTGAATATAGTAACAATATAGACAACACAATGTTATTAGCTGAAAAGGTTAAGCACATGTTCATGCATCTCACCATTTTCTTCCCCAAAGTGAGCTAAATTTGTTTCTAATTTATTGTTATTAATAAAGGAATTTTCATTTAAATTTATCGTGGATTATAGCAGATATGTCTTCAAATCGTAGATATTTATACATTTTGGCAAAAGGTTATTATGTCCTTACGTCAATTTGTTAGAAAAGACTCGTAAAACATCAATATATTCAAATAACGTATACAACAGAGACTCGTTTTAAATCCAAGCTATATGTACTAAATGAGACCCCTTTGACATATTGAGTTGTTCAAATCACGTAAAATATCAATGGCTAACAGGAAAATTGCAAAAACACTCCAAGATATATTTTATAAATCCCTGGCCAATTTTAAATGTCAGTGAAAAACATATGTTGGTACAAATAAGTACGAATTGTTCAGTCTAACGATAAGGATGACATGAGCTATTATCTGTAAAGGTGAGCTTCTTAACCATTCCCAAGTTAATAACAGTATGTTTTTTTGTAGATTGTAAATATCCATGCTACTCTATTGACCAATAGAAATCAAGGAAATATTTCAAGAGGTAACCGTAATGACTGCGACCTGAACATTTCACAGACGACAGTGTTTTAGTAATATTCAAGTTTATTCTATTTTACAGACAATCGTCATAGGTTACCCCTTACGTCAAAAAAAAGTGTTTTTTTAATATATTAAACCCTCGGAAATTAAGTAATAATCAAGGTTATCATATTTTACAGACAATCGTCATAGGTTACCCCTTACGTCCAAAACCAAATATTTGTTTAATATCTTGAACCCTTGGAAAGCAAGCAATAATATTTGTGGGAACTATATATAGATATAAGCGTTCATATATTAAACTTATTCCATAACGCAGAAATATTGTAGCAGTTAAGCAAGAAACAAACTTACAGTTTTATTGGGACGTAATGGCTTTTTGTTCACAAGTTTACACAGAATTTTCTATAAAACAGAATTTTGTACAGCATGCATTATAATGCCAAAAGTCACAATCGTAGGTCATTTATAGATTTTATCATTGTGTACAACCCTCTTTTTATAGACACAATTCTTCAGTTCGAATTAGCTTTAAATAGTTCCAAAATTTTGGTCTATAAATAGTTACGTACATCTTTTAAAACCAGAAGACCGCCGACAAGAGAACAAAACAAAACAAACGATCAGCAGGTTACAACAATGACATTATTAACATAAATCTTTTGGCATTTGTATTTTGATTGCTTTGTACCTTACTGTGTAATTTTTCACTTATCATTGATATCGGTATATAAGGCTCAAATTTGTTTTTATATTCCAAGATTGCACAAATGTCACACAGAACAAATATAATTCTTAACAAAATGATTCAGTATAAACACAGGAAGTAGAACAGATAAAATATAAGTGGCCGAATCAAATGCATTCTGTCAATTACCTTAAAAACTGGACGACAAAGGAAATTTTCTTTTACTGGCAGTAATCTGGAAAGAAATCGAATAATTATTTCAATAACATTTTATATGCAATTTGCAATAAACGTAATATTTCTTGGTTTGATTCGTAGATGATATTTCTACTGTAAAACAGGCGGAAACACAGTTGAAATTAAACAAAAGAAATGGAACTATTTGTTAGAGAATGTAAAAAAGCCAAATTGGTATATTTGAATTGTTTACTTCTGTTTCTATGGGCTTTAAAAGTTTAATAAAGTTACATAATTTAGAGTTTTGGCATCTTATATACGTGTTTTTACTTGAATTGTAGTAATTCACAAAACAGTCGGTTGTTGCAGGTTCAAATCCAGTTGGATCTTTTTTGTACATAAGCATTAATTCCGCCGTAAAAAATTCTATAGATAGAAAATAGATTGATTTTTCTGAAGCATTGATTTGCACCTCTGCCCCCGGCGATAGTTTTTGGGGGAAAAATTCCCAAAATGGGCAATAATTACACCGAAAAGAGAAAGTCGAGTGCACCTTTTCATGTTCGGGCGTGTTTGAGTTGACTATTCTGTCTTGAAAACGTAGAAAGCAAAAATATTTGATACATCATCTCGCTTCAGATTCTATTACTTTTATATATTAAGGCTACATGTTGATAGGATAACATTAAAAATTCACAGTACTAAAGAATAAAATATAGGGTCAAGTAAAATATCTTTCTAATGAGTCATAGCAACAGAGAAGGTGTGTTCGAATAACAATTTTTAACGAAATGCACTTGACGACAGACTTTACAGTTGGATCTTAAAAATGAATATCTTCAAAAAAACTTCATTTTTTGTGTGTGTTATCTATGGTTTTCAGTCTTAAACCTCTGAACAATTTTAGTCAACCCTTCCACGAAATATTTGATTAGAATTTTTTTTTAAAGTTTTTGAACTTTCGAAAATTCCACCTGACAACCGATCAGACAATAGATTTAAGTTGAATGTATGCAGGAAAGTACATTAAATGATGCTCAATAGCTAGTAGATACATTTGTCTTTTAAAATACATCTGGCATACAAGGATCGAAATGGTGCTGTGTGGATAAATTTATCGGTTTTCAAGAGCTCAATTGGCAGCGCGTCATCCCTACAATGGCTTCAATTTTTACGATTGTAAAAATTGATGGCGTAATGGGGAGATAATTTTGACTAAGTAGAATCCTGACTGAAAATATATGACGTCAACGGTTTAATCATTCAGGCTTGTATGACAATGAATTTTCAAATTATAATTTTTACCAGAATCCAAGGAAATGTCAAAATGCACCTTTAAATTGATAAGTCTTAAATGTATGTTTCATTGTGCATGATAATTTATGTATACACATAATCTTGGGTTTCATAACGAGTAAGAATAGTGTTTCAACTCGAATTATCTAATTCCAATATGATACAAAAACGAGGCCTCGGCGAGTTTCACATGTTTACTGAAATAACTAACGGGGGTTGATACCAAGTGATATATAATTCTCACCAGCTCCTTCTCTGTGTGGCCTATTTACATGACAAATGTGACAATTTTGATGGAAAATTTAATGACTCACTTCGTGCGTTGTATAAGTGAGCATGAGTTTCCATTCTTATTCAAAACACTAAAACGTTCAATTTTATTCTTTACTTTGTGTTGAAATATCATAATTATAAAAATTCCGCGAATTAGAATAAGCATTCAAAAGAATTAAATTGGACAAAAAATTTAAAAAAAATTATGATCAGTAAATGTCAATTCTCCATTGTTATCTTGGTATGTTTAAGTCATCACTGACCTAAAGAATAATCAATTGAAAAGTCCCATTTTCGTACAACAATGCAGAACAGCCTTACCAAATTAATACAATTGTTGTTTTTCATATATCAGTATTTGTTCATACGGACAATAGATAACGGGCCATAACTATAAGATAATGTACCACCGATGCTCTCTGTAAGTTCAGATTGTATGTCTGTGATGTATGTTTACACAGTTTTAGCCCAGTTTAAACCAGGTTTCAACCAACATTTTCTTCAGAAAACGGCTGTACCAAGTCAGGAATATGATTGTTCTTTCTCATTCGTTTCCTTGGTTGATAAATCTGCCGTTTGCTTTTTTCATGTCTAATTTACTTCTCCTCCTTTTTTTAATTAATCTTGTACTCTGGTATTTTTATTTTTACTTTTTTTCTGTAATAAGCTTGTGACGACGATCATAATTGTAAGAATGGTCAAACAGACCACACACTAATTATTCTATATATTCTACTGCTTCTAAAAAGGTTTGCTTTGCTAAACAGAAACTAAAGTTAATTCTAGATATGCAAAAGACTTAACAACAATATTCTCTAATATGTTTTATATATTGTGCATTTGAGACAAAAATACGACTAAATTCCATTTATCTGTCTAATTTGTAATCGCACGGCGATAAACAAGGCAGGTTCTGGTAATCGTTTACGTGTTTTTGTTTTATTTTTCCAAAATCTACACACAAAATTCTGACGTCAAGGTTTAATAAAAAAAACAAATGCTATGTAAACATCCATATTAGTTTGATTAGTTTTCATAGTTTGTTTTTATTCAAAATCGCGGTTTGTGATGTCATGACAGCATTGTTTGTTGTAAATCAATACTACCTTAGGTTTTAATCTATAACATAAGGAAACAAATGTTATATAGTGTTTTAATATTCCATAACTGTATACATTTAAATGATTGTGAAATTCTAAAATTCTTATAAAGATATTGTTACTGTTAATTTTCTTTTACATAACAGGTTTCTGTATAAAAGATTTGCACAGTTGAATTTTTCCCCAATATGCTTACAATGATGGCGTACTTACTTTACCACAGACTGAGCAGAAAACTATTTTGTAAAAGCAAATGGAGCACATCTAGGCCAAATCTAGGAATTGCATGCGATGTCTTTACGAAAAGTTTTGACATAAGACATGTTTCTCAATTATATTTTATTTTGAAAACATTGAAACCTGACGAGTTTGTCTCGAGACATATTTGATATTTTGATCACAAAACTCTCATTAGATACTCGTTACTTTTGCTTATTTCAGGAACTATGAAATTCTCTAAATAACCGTATAAAATAAACTTCGTTAATGGTAATACATTCTTAACTAAGTGTCCATCTAGTACTTGTCTAGTAACTGTCGGTATAGATATGTACACCATCTATTTGAAAGTTTATATGCGTAAAAATGTAAAAGAACACTAGCATAGTAAAGAACAAATACAAAGAGGACACACGTATAAAGATTTACATCTATCATGCTAGCAAGAAGAAGATGCATAGAATAATATATATCGCGTAGCAGTACGAGAATATGAGCAGCACTATCAACACACGCGTCACTAGTAAATCTATTTTATACTGAAACGACCATTTTCATCAATAACGAACACTGAACAATAAATATGTAAGTTACGTGCTTAACCTTTCAGTCAATTTTCAATTATTCAATGAATTAAGTACTGTTCAGAAATTTCAATAACTGTCAATTAAAATTTGTTATTTTCTTTCAAATTTCAATGCAATATTTTTATTACCTTTTCCAAACAATTTAAATCCGATGTGTTTTTTTGGGTTTTTTTTTTTTTTTTTTAATTGACGGGGCAAACTGTTTACAGAACTAAAATAAACTTGAGCATTATACATATAAATCAATTTGAAAGTCTTAACAAGACCTATTAGCATCTTTATGTTCAGGCGTTTCAGATGATATTGAAATCGAAATGGTCGTTTCAGACTAAAATGTATTTAATAATGCGTGCATCAAGAAATGACAATAGGCACAATGAAAAACTACAAACGCGACAAAAAACGACATTTTTTGGCTTACTTCGCCATTTCGCTAAGCTGCAATTTGCCGTCTTTATTTCTGTCAAAAAGTTGAAGCTGAAAAAAGATAAAAGATATTTTGAAATTTATTGTCTAATTGTAGTAAGTGCTTACTTTGCTAATTCACTAAACTGTAGTTTTCCATCGCCGTTCCTATCAAAAAGTTTCAACTGAAATGAAAATAGAAATACAAATGTTCAATGTATGGTTTGATTGCAATCTCAGCCGTCATAAGAGCAATTCAACATTACTTTCCTGTGTAATTGATTGTACCTAAGAACTTTTTCAATTTTCAAACAACAAAGAGGTCTTCATTCTGTATTGATTTTGTATGAAAACAAAATACAGTGAATTTTCAGAAGTAGTTAATAATAGTTTAATTTCCCTGAATGCAGAGCTATCAATCAAAATTTAATTGAATTAGAGGAGGTAAAAATAATCATTCATATTATTTGTATGTACATTTATATGAACCATTACCTAGTATTGCTTGAAATTATTCCAATTATAAATCTGTCCTATAATCTTTTCTCCTTTTTGTGGGCCCATGTTCTTAATAGATTTACCTTACCTTATTCATTTTTCAGTTAATGCGATTGCAACTGATTCTCACTCCGTTTTGGGTAAACTGAATTTGTTACTCACTTCAATTACCGTACTTCGTGTCTTATTCTGTAATCTTATTCTTACTTATCACGATTAAACAGATGTAGAGAATGTTATAATAAATTTTTAAAAAAGCTATTGATAGCTGCATGTATGAAAAAGCACACATATATCTAACTTATACTTGATACATAAATACAAAGTAGACACTATTTTTGAAATGCTGTAAACACATTCAATATCTAGAATAGGATCTCAGTTATAGGATACCAGTCCAGTACCCACGAATGAAGTCCCTTAATAAATATACCATCTTTTAAATGAGATATTGTACCGAGATATTAAATTATGTAAAGACGCTTGAATTTTTAGTATATCCAAAGGGTATTCATTAAACTTTCAACTTCTGTTAGATTTTAAGTGATTCTGTAATGTATAGGGTGGATGATTCTCTGAATAATTGGTCCAAATTTTATATTCGATTTTAACCAGGAAGTTAATAAAATGGCCCTATCAATACTCAAAACAGCATTGCTCTCTTAAAGTCACGACCCTTCAAGAATTCTCCAAGAAACCACGAAGGGGATACTAGTATGACAAAGTATTTGAAATTTTACAGTCTAATATAAGGAATAAAAAATATGCCCCTCAAATATGATAAATTTGCATTGAAGTAATGGGGGAAAATAATTGGGTCCCGTTCAATATAGAATGGTATCCCTTGCCTAGTATTCAATGTTTCATCATAAGCAATGATGTGTTAACTGCCTTTTGATGAATGCTTAATGGTGGTTTATTTATTTTTTTTTTTAAACTATAGCGGTGTTCAAAAGTTGACGTTTGATATTGTTGGTCTTTTCAGTCTGTCTTTAGGTTCATACATACATGCGTCTTTATCTTAAGGTGATTATATGACTCTGTCTTTCCAAACATTCCTGTAATTTTGTGATATCTCCATATATGCAAACAAAACACAGCTACGTCGATATGTTTAGGTAATGTAATGAAATCAGGAAAAATTAAAGTCACACTTTTGTTGTACATTGTTGATCTCTGCTAGCCCTTAATATGGATTTATTCATTTCAATGTCACTTTAGAATATGTTATTGAAACAGTCATCAAACTTTCATTGATTAAATGAGTAGTAATTTTGTAAAGATCACAAGATTAAATGAAAAGATTTTTTTCTATGGTTTTTCGTTTACGATTACAATTACAGGTTGTGGAGTAAGAAAAAGTTCTTGTCAACCAAAGGAATGTCGCTTGAAGAAAACCAGAATGAATCAAATACATATCAATATAAATGCAGTCATTCATGAGAATTTGTTTTCCATACTTTTAAAAACCCATAGCAATTTAAGAGGCTGTCAGATTAACAGCAAGCCGGATTTTCCTGCATGAAAATGATAATTGCAAATCTGGACCCCGAACAGGATCATATTAAAAAGATAAATGAATGTTTGTAGGGTTCAGAAAAAGAAAGGCCAAAATCAATCTTGGCCTCATATTTATCATAAGTGACATACTATTGGAATTTAAGAGAGCATATAAGTACATACATTTGTTCAGCAGGGCTGGGTAGGCAGAAATCATGAAGTCAATAATGAAAGAAATATGTTTATGAGATTATAACCTTATTTAATATGAAACCATAGATTCTTGGTCACTCCAATAACGTTCCAGATCCCCACTTTCAAACGGTTGTCTTGTTTCTTCACAAGATTTTCATCTAAGCCTTTCAAGTTATCGCATGGACAACGCTCTAAGTATCACTTTGCACTACTTATAGGTCTATAACTCATCAACAATTAAAGCTAAAATTGTGAAATTCGATCTTGACCTTCATTTTGTCACAAACAAAACAACATGTCGAAACTTGAAAAGATTTCGTTAAAGTGTTTTCAAGTTATTGCACGGACAACCGCTCTAAGTATTACATTTTGCTTCTTAAAGGTCTACTACTTTACAATGATAAAAGCTAAAATCGTGAAAATCACACTAGACCTTTATTTGGTCACAGGAAAAAACATATCTAAATTGGAAAAGATTTCGTCAAAACGTTTTCATGTATTACACGTACATCGCCCAAAGTATCATTTTTCGCTAATTAAAGGTCTACAACTCAAAAACGATAAAAGTTAAAATCAAACTTGGCCTTCATTTAGCCATAGTAAACAACATGTTTTAATTTGAATATTTCTCGAAAAAGTGTTTTCGAGTTATTGAACGAACACTGTTTGGCAGCTTGTTATGCCCCTTTGGTCATTTATTACCATTGTATAAAAATGATATCTTACATCAAGAGAGAAATTTTTATACAATTCAAGGAAGACGTCTTATCTTACCACAGTATCTGTATATGTTATCATTTGTTCTTCTGTGACGTCACCTTGTCGTTTACATCTTTTCAGAAGATCATACAGAAAAGTCTACAAGAATAGAATGTTGTCACATTAACACAAACATAGAATATTACATCAACCTTGTACTAATTTTCTACTTTTTATAAATTACCTAATTATATAAATGAGAGAAAGGTTTTCGATGTTAAATGTTGAAGTGTAAATAAATGTCAATGAAACTTTTGAAGTTGGTCATTGTGCTTATTTCATACGGTGAAGCAATCCCTAAGAAATCTTTTTCCAAATACTATCTATTATTTGTTGGAAATCAGATCAAAATTTTTCTGAAACTTTATTTTATACAATTGTTTTAGAAAATGAAAACAACACTTAATAAATTGCATACGTCCGAAGAGCTTTTCTTGTTTACCTCATCAGGATCGCTCAAAGCCGAATATTTGAAAGATAAGGATGTATAAGAACAGAAACAGTAGAAGAGCTATATTATAAACCACCATCTTCTTCAGAGATAGCGTTTGATTTTGTCAGTTTTTATGGACTTCCCTTTTGGAAATTTCCTTGGAATTCGTTATTTTTGTTATTCTTTTTTTTTTGAAAAAGGACCTGAAATAATAGCCAAATCCATATAAGGGTAACTTTGCCTAAGGGAGTTAAACCTGTGTTTTGTAATACTTTCGAAATTTATAAAGGAATAATCTTAGAAAGGTGGAGGTAGGGATTGTGCTTGACTTTCATAAGATGAAGACATAATCTTTCAGTCAGTTTAATTGAGGTCTGGAGCTGGCATGTCAGTAACTGCTAGTAGTCCTTTGTTAATTTTGATTATTGTTATTTTGCTTAGTTTCTTTTGTTACCTATTCTAACATCGGACTCGGACTTCTTTTGAACTGAATTTTACTTTGCGCATCGCTGTGAGTTTTTTTATTCCACATTGACAAGCGGTAACAGGGGAGGGTTGAGATCTCTCAAAACATGCTTAACCCCGACGCATTTTTGCGCCTGTCCCAAGTCAAGAACCTCTGGCCTGTATTAGTCTTGTATGTTTTTTTTTTAAATTTTGGTTCATTTATATGTTTTTGAGTTTAGTGTGACGTCCATTAGCTGAACTAGTATCCATTATTGTTTAGGGGCCAGCTGAAGCCCGCCTCTAGGTACGGGATGTTCTCGCTGTGTTGAAGGTCCATTGGTGGCCTTTGGCTGTTTTCTACTCTTTGTTCGGTTTGTTGTCTCCTCTTTGACGCATTCCCCGTTTCCTTTCTCAATTTTATTGTTATAAATCATGTCAGTACTACTGAGCTGATGATACTCTTGGTGACTAATAGTTCACCAACAGCGATATCGACCCACTGCTGTCAAAATGAATACAACGCATACATCGCATGAGTCCGAAGCTCAAAGTAGTCAAGTACAAGAACCGCGTATGTTCGAACTACTGTTGTCCCCATTTGTGTGCCTTAGTAAAAATGCGTTTAACAATATAAAATAATTTTATTTAGGGATAAATCTACTACCTTCAATAATGATTTCTTAACATATTCTAGACGTTATTAGTTCTCGATATTTTTCAAACCAATTTCATATTGCTTGTACTCCTAATTAATTATTCATATTGGAATACAGATTTGTTACGTCGAATGAGACAAGTGTTATTTCCGGTGAATGACAGTTTATGAAATCAGTGGTGTCCTGGATAAATATAGCTCTAAACTTTAAATTGTATGATTGGAGTAAAATGTCTAAATAATTACATAGCCTATGCGTTTGACAGCAAGGTCTTGCAACAGCTGCACGTAAAAGGTACAATTTATAAATCAATCCATGTAATCCCTTCTAATGTATTTATTGTCTATGTCATTCATTTTCGTAAGCTGTTCACACTTACAAAGCAAGAAAGAGATTAAAGTTTTCAGACTACACTTCGTACTAGAGTTCCCATTTGATTCTACTTGGTTTAATGGAAATAAAGCAGTCCTTACCTTCAACTCGTCAGCTTCTATATATCCACTCCTGTCTTTATCATACTCCTTCCACACCTATAATTATACAGGCGTGGAAAAAAAGTTAGTGATGTCAGGTAATGATACGGCAAAAGAGTCGATAACGACAAAAAACAAACTATTACAGTTACATATAAGTACCATCTTAAGCCTGTCAAATACGCTAAATACATCAAAGACGATAACATCGAACTAGAGACTCTAAAGCGTCTGTGTCGCTCACCTTGGTCTATGTGTATATTCGACAAAGGAAAATCTCCAACATTGTAGACGAGAATAGAATTCATGACAAAAATCTCTGTTTTGTTGATCTTGTATTGCTGATCATTTTGTCTGTTTAGTTTCTATCCATCTTCTTAAGTTTTTGCTCAAAACACAAAAGAGGGTAAAAAGATCCTCATTTAAGGACATTCACTCCTTTGAGGAGAGACAGTCTACTAACTACATCGGCAACATTTGACTTGTTAGTAGATCTTGCCTTGCTGATCATTTTTGTGATTTAAAGTGTCTATTTATCTAATTTACTTTTTATCATATAAGGCAAAACGCACAAACAATGGTGAAAATCGTCATTGAAGGGAATAACTCAAATAAGGAGTCATTGGACGATTTCCACCATATTGTCTTAATTGTAGATCTTGTCTTGCTGATCATTTTTTGTTTATTTAAGTTCCTATCTATCAATTATAATCTTTAAGATACAAGGCAAAAACGCAAAAATATTGGTCAAAATCACATCAAAGGGCAATGACTCTATTAAGAAGTCGACTGACGATTTCAATCATTAGACTTATTTGTAGAACTTGTCTTGCTGGTCTTTTTTTGCGATTTTAAAGTTTCATTTTATATCATATTTTTTACCATATAAGGCAAAACGCAACATAAAAAGGTGAAAATCGTCATAAGAGGGCAATAACTCCAATAAGGAGTGGTCGGACGATATCTACCATTTGTGTAAATTGCTTAATTGTAGATCTTGTCTTTCTGATCATTTTTGCTAATTTAAGTTTCTATCTATCTCTTATTTTTTTTAAGATATAAAGCAAAAAATTAAAAAAAAAGGTAAAAATTATCATCAAAGGGCAATAACTCTAATATGGAGTCGACTGACGATTTCGACCATTTAACTTATTTGTAGAACTTGTCTTGCTGTTCATTTTTGCGATTTGAAGTTTCTCTTTATCTATAAAGGTTTTCAGGATAGTAAGCAAAAATGAAATAAAATGGTAAAATATGTCATTTAAGGGCAATAACTCCTTTAAGAAGCCGTCTGCCAGTTTTGAAGTTTATAACATTTTTGCCTCTGTCAGATTTTCTCTACTTTCTCAAACGGTTTACAAAATAATGGACAAAACTTGCTTTTTATTCCTATGTTCTATCTTTAGCCATGTCGTGGTAGGTAGGCGGGGTCATCGAACACATTTTTTAAACTAGATGCCCCAATGATGATTGTGGCCAAGTTGGTTAAATTTGCCCAGTAGTTTCAGAAGAGAAGATTTTTAAGTTAACAGACGACGACGGACGCCGACGGACGACGACGGATAACGATGGACGCCAAGTGATGAGAAAAGCTAATTTGCCCCTTTGGGCCAGGTGAGCTAAAAAACAGAACTTTTATTTTTATCGACAGCTTATTTTTTCATCATCGGTACTCTAATGGCCAGTGATTGTGTCCCCTCCTTTTTTCTATAGGAAGCAGAATTGATAGAGAATCTTCAAAAGTATATTGGCAAATTTTAAAATTTTACAAGCACTATATTTTTTAATAACCATAATGTCATCTCTTATATATTGAGCTTGACATCAAGGATTGGGTGGGTGCATCATATCTATAAAAAAAAGTTTTCACAGACATATGACTTCAATGATAGATCACAAGTTACAAGCATCAATAGATTATCGGTGTTCATATTACATAAATCCAGTGAGAATACTATTGCATTCAAATCAATATAAAAAAACATGAATATATCGCATAAACTTCAAACGGAAAGAATCCGGGGGCGTCAACAGGGTAATCGTTTACCGTTATCAATGCTTCATCCGCCATGCGAATCCTCAGTTAAAATATGAAAATATGGAATCGGACACAATCGGTAAATTATCAAACCTCACGACTATTCATGTATATAAAGTTTTTTAAGACCGCGAAAAATGTGAACGTTGAGACATATGTTATGCAATTGGTGATGCCGACAGTAAAACCTGTGTCGTGTGGATTTCAATCGTTCTTCCTCATAACCCTGGTGGAGTAGTTTTTGGGTGCAAATTCCTGTTAATGAAGTCCGTATTATTCCAAAATACACGCGCGACACATTTGTAAATGTGAAACGTTGGGACAGAACCCTGATCAAAAATACTGGATGCAAAGGGTGAGGTGAGAAGTAGGTATAAGAAATGGCAGTTATAGTGTTATCATTCATTCTTTGCAGGTTTTTCGTGGAAATATTGCCAGTACTAGTATATATATATCATCAAAACACTAATTAGCCAGTTCTAATTCAAAACCATACGTTTTTTTTATCGTCTTTAAAAGTAAAAATGTAAATAAAACGGGTTGAATCGCATGACAAATATGAAGATTTCAGATTTCTCACTGTAAACTGCCGATGTCCCGATAGTTATATGTCCTCTGTCTCATTGTAGTGGGTTTAAATATCTCTATTGTTACACTTCGTACAAACATAATCTCTTGATACGGTCTCAATCATTAGAGATTCACTTTGCTTTACATCTTTAGAAAACTGTCGTCTCATCTGCAGTCCGATTTTATATTGTGACATTTTTAATGAGTCCATATTTCGAAGGTGACTGATATATCCATAGAAGGAGGCACTTCGACCGTCGACACATCTGGTCCCGCCTCATTTAAAGTTTATTAGAATTCCCAGGTTATTTCTCTTGAAATGTACGAATATCCATAAACTACTGCCTTTTATGAAAAGCAATCATCACAGATTCCGGTCTCATAATTTTGTACTTCAGTCTAGTTATTGAGGCTTTCAATACAAGACGAAAATTTGGACAATCTTAATAAAAAAAAGAAAAATAACAAAAAGTCAAAAAGCAAACCACAAAACACTAGAGAGAGAACTAATGGGTGACAGCACGAACCCACCAAACTCTGCGCTGAAATTGTATGCACTTGAAGGGTAGACATTTCCTTCTCAAAAAATAACATTCGTCGTATAACAAAGTGAAAACGGAGTTCTATTATTTAATATTATGTTATAATTTGTCCCATCTTCAGTATTTGTTTACTGTTAATATATAGATATAGGAAGATGTGGTATGAGTGCCAATTAGACAACTCTCCATCCAAGTTACAATTTATAAAAGTAAACCATTATAGGTCAAGGTACGGCCTTCAACACGGAGCATTGGCTCACACCGAACAGCAAGGTATAAAGGGCCCCAAAAAATTACTAGTGTAAAACCATTCAAACGGAAATATATATGGTAGATACTACAAAACATTTATTAGCACTTCTTACATTTTGTGGCAGACAGAAATACTGTTATGGTTGGAAAGAACCTAAAATAGACATCTTTCTATAGCCAGTTCAGAATATTGACTAATGAAAAGATTAATTATAACGTATGATCTGGTGAGTTCCTGGTGGTAAAATCATTGTTAGTTGTACCAATAAGTTTAATTCTATCAAATGCTTTTCTGATAAGTTAATTGACTGAAATTTTTAAAAGGAAAATTTTAATTGGCATGCGCGAATAACGAACTGTACATTTAAATATCTGTGGGTTCAATGAACATTGTCTAGACAGTAACTGGGACAATTACATTATTTCACAGCCCATTAGGACTAATATCGATACAGCAACAAACATAAATATCATCTTTATTACATAATCAATATGTCACTACAAACTTCATTCATATTTCTTGTTTATATTGTAATAATTGGCAGGAGGATGTATTTACTTTTATAGTAAGAATATTTCATGATAAATGTCATTCATTCTTGTTTTATCCTTTGACCTAGTCCAAATATATCCTGAAAACCCCTTAGATGATAACTATATGGCCGTGATGATTCTAATCAAATAAATTAAACCTGTCAACTGTTGTCTACTAGATTATTTTAATTTGACTTTCATTATTACTAACTCGCTTTGAACCTATTTTAGTATGTATATAAAGATTTCGTTGCCGTATCGATAGTACATTTTAATCATCTCGCTTCAGATGTTTGACAATTCTGTAATTCTGTAATTAGCAGTTCTACACTCTAGATGAAGGTATCGGTAAATCATATCAAAATAAGTTGTTGTCTACCAACGAAATGTATTTTATATTAAAAGGTCCCACAAAAGGTAAGTCAAGTCTAAGACATTTCACGTTAATTTGATTTCCTCTAGAAAAGGAACAGGTTGGAAACGTTAATATTATTTCGGGATCCCCTACAGAATGTGACTGTTATTTGTGTGTCTTCAGTGGAATTCATTAGCCGGAAAAAGGTGTGAATACTTGTGGTTCTTCATCGAAATTTATTAATCGTAGATGTACAGATCGTTATTGTATACCCTGTTTGAATGTTTTAGACGTTAAGATGAATTGATGATCCCGAGTAAATGAAACGAGTAAAGAATATGCGCTATTTATTTTCTATCAGACAGCGAATAATCCAGTTCCTAATTTACACAGTTGATATGCCAGGGGATATGTTTCCGATCAAAATTTCATTGATAGGGGGTTGCTGCTCACAAGGAAGCTATTAAACCAAGAGTTCCAAGTGGTGAAGTTGAAATCATTCCTTCGTAAATTTTACGGACGCCATTACGAGTTGGTTGACCGTTATGGAATATCAATTTCACAGATGACGACGGATATGTTCCAATTGTTGTAACTACAAGCTCGTCCCCTTTCCCCCGAATATGACCTACCGAATTAGACATATCACCGGGTTTGTACTAACATGAGCAACACGACGGTAGCCAAATGTGGAGCAGGATTTGCTTACCCTTTCAGAGCACACGAGATTACCCCCAGTTTTTTGTGGGGTTCGTGTTGCTAAGTCTTTAGTTTTCTATGTTGTTTTGTGTACTGTTGTTTGTCGGTTTGTCTTTTTCTTTTTTAGCCATGGCGTTAAAAGTTTATTTTCGACTTTGAGTTTGAATTTTTCTTTGGCATCATTAGCCTCTCTTTTACGCATATTGACACATTTACAAATTGCAGACTGCTCCTCTGCTTTGAATGCAGTATTTAAGTGTAAGAAAAATGACTCGTAGCCATAATACTGTGAACTGATTTTGAACCATGTTTTCCTTTAGGCTTTTAACTCACGAGCTTAAAATATAAAATCATGCTAAGTTTGTCATTTCAGTCTTAAAGGGCCAAGCATTACGACGACACGCTGATTTAGTTAAACATAATTATGGCTGTTGGACGTAAAAGAATTAAAAATCTTTTTACCAATATTCTCCCTATAAACAAATGTGTCGGCATGGGAGGCTTTTCTTTGCTTGAAGAGTACAATTGACGTTATTAGTCGAAAAATAGGAAAACATTATATACAGGCATCGAAACTTTTTTGTCTTCAAAGTTTCCTCATAAAATATCGTTCAATATCAAGTATTAAATTAATGTAAATCAACATGATATTCTGAACCTTTAATATGTAAGTGAAAGTCAATGATTTCTCAGGACTTTTATAATGCTGTTAGGTTAGTGTTTATCAAAAAAAGTTAAGTATAAGCTTTCAAAAATCTAGTTTTTCAATAAAATGACATGAAAGGACAATTTTGTCAAAGCCACCAACACCCACGTCAATGAAGCTAAAAAATAACAAAACAGAAATTTAGAGACCTTAACAGAAATCTTTGGTATAACGAATATGGTTAAATCAAACAAACAAAGTATGCATGTACATTATATCACTGGGCAGGCATGTATTCTTTAATTTGAACTGACATATAGAGCTGAAATCAAAGTAATCAAGTAAAAAGATCCTTGATTATCAGTTAAAACCTTTCGGTGAATTTACGTCGCTAGAATTTATCATTAAGATTTATATCTGTCAGTACAGTCTCTGCTATCATGCAACATGTAATTTAATTGAAGTAGATATTTCGGAAAAAATTTTCACACTTCATCAATATAACTTTATAATACTAATGATGTATGTGTACGTTGAAAAAAATACCTTTAATGGTGGATTGACAATTTGACAAATAACTTGTAAAGCTCAATTTTCATCGCACGATCAAATCCTTTTAAACAATGAATTGTAATTTGCAAATTCAGAAAAAAATTGTTTCAGGAAAAGTCAAATTAGAAACATTTAAAATAAAGAATGCTTGTAAAATAAGTCTGACAGTTGTTTATGTACGGTCAATTAGTTTACGAAAGGTCTTTAAACTGCATGCAACTAAGAATTGTGTATATATATAAATCTAATACATTAGATGTAGTCTAGAAAATATACGTCCTTCTTAAGTGCTGTGTTCTATCAGAAAATGCATTAGTTGATCTTAAAACCATTTATAATTCGATCAATGACTATGATTGACATACTGTTCAACAGTCTTTGATTATATATTTGAATAAGTGTATTAGATAAGAAACAAGTTGTGACATTTTTGGTCTTGTGTCTAGACAAGCCATTTCTTAAACAAGTTTTTCGTGCTGCCCTCTGTTGTGTATTTCTTTACAAGTCGAATTTGATTTAAAACATGAAATTAAAAAATGCCTGGTCAACTGAATAAGCTTTAAAGATTACGTGTTTTATAACCACCGAGTTTCAGTTCTTTTTTTTTTTCAATTTCATTAATTTTTTATACTTAATCAATTCGTTTAAGCGAACTTGTATGTATTTATATAAGTATACGACAATACCAAAAGGAACATAAAACCTCACAAGTCAAAAAGCGAAAATCGGGAACAACATTGGGAAAATAAGTCAACTACACAGTATACAGGAAACTTAGAAGTCCCTTCTTTACGGTGATACTCAGGTGTTGTGAAGTGTGCTTGGAAGGGTAAAAAGTAAGCTTAAAACACTTTCAGGGAATATGGTTTCAAAAATGGCAACGGATATGTTCCAATTGTAACTACAGTGTCGTCCCCTTTTCTACGAATGTGACCTATCGCATTAGACTTATCACCGGGGTTGTACTAACATGAGCAACACGACGGGTTCCACATGATGAGCAGGATCTGCTTACCCTTACGGAACACCTGAGATCACCCGAAGTTTGGTGGGGTTCGTATTGGTCAGTCTTTAGTTTTCTATGTTGTGTTTTGTCCTGTTGTTTGTCTGTTTGTCTTTTTCTTTTATAGCCATTGCGTTGTCAGTTTATTTTCGACTTATGAGTTTGAATGTCTCTTTGATATCTTTCGCCTCTCTTTTTCAATAGTTTTGCGTGCTTTTAGTCTTTTCATTCTTATCATGCACTATTTTACAACACAGGTATCCGATTAGTTTTCTATTTCACAGTTAGTTTACAGTCATTTGCATTGTTTGGCTCGTGTAGTGTCCTGCAAGAGTATAATATTCATAAACATGTTCAACACTGAGTTTTGTTTTGGATTGACTTATATTAAGCCAGCAGTTGTCTCTTTCAAATTTAATCTATCAAGATATAAAAATGCCTAGTATACACTTTGCGTCCATGTTTTTTCAAATATTGTTCAGTGTCTCTGAAGATGAATATATTCACTATAACATCGTCTGGTGTCTCGGTGGTAATTATATACCATACTTAATTCTGCTTCAGCAAGACGTCGATGTCGAACATAAAAAAAACTTGCTTCGTTCAAAGGCCTTAAGTAAACTTGCTCATTAACTCATTATAGAGAATTTGCTAAAGTTGTATACTTTGATTCCAAAAGTATTTTTAAATAAGCAATCGATCATGAACTACTTCATTAAGGTTACTAGAATAAACGAAAGAAATAACCAATACACAAATTCTACTTTCGACATTCCGAAATAGTTGATCGACACAGTGTGACATTTAATAAACATATATATTCGTTTTGCTTAGTCTTTAGTTTTCGATGTTGTGTTTTGTGTACTATTGTTTGTCTGTTTGTCTTTTTCTTTTTTAGCCTCAGTCAGTTTATTTTCGACTTATGAGTTTGAATGTCCCTTTGGTATATTTCGCCTCTTTTTTAGACATTTATCTCTTCTCATCTTGTATCGTCCATATGACCCTAGGGCCTAAATTTGCTTCCTCGTTTTGATAGTTCCTAATGGATAGCAATTCAGAATGGAATCATAAAGTTGATACATGAATAGCAGGTGATACTTTACCAATTGACGCGCAAAGCCGTTCAATCAATTAACTTTACTCAATACTCGAAGTACAAAATTAGCGCTCGAAACACCAAATCCAGTAGATTGATTAGTTGATTTCTGAATCTGAGTACGATAATCTTACTCGAAATATGTGAGACTGTTAGGCCTGGTCTCACTCTGTTTATGCCATTCGAAATATTTGCTCTTGAATACTTGTTGGTATTTGTTGAACTAAATACACAAATGCATTGTAACCTGTATCGGGATACAATCTTTATTTTGCCTTAAGCCGAAACTCTAAGTCCTAAATGTTTCGAAATGGCAAAGGATGACCCGTGAAATTTTAAATGTCAAATGTCTTCAAAATGCCTCTTTTTGTTTATTCCAAACCCATGTATAATAACAAATGCAAAGAGTGGCAGTTGATAATAATGCTACATCAGTTACTTTCTTGTGGTGATGTGAGCTTAATTGTTTTGGGGTTTTCTTTTCTTTTTTTTTTGTTCAGGGAAGGATGGGTCTGGGTTTAAGGTAGATCGATACTTATTGTATGTATGGTGTGGTTGGATCTTGGACTTGCGGAGTGACATTATGTAATAACATTGAGTAAACAAAAACTCATCAAATTTTGTGTAGCTAGGCAACAACTTTGATAGTAAGTTTGTTTAGGGGAATTATCAAACTAAAATATAAAACAATCACACACACAATCTGAAATTTTCAATACATTGATATGAATTAACTTTTTTTAAATTCAATGAAATAGTCTCCATTGTTAGCTGTGTTTTAAAAATAAATCAAAGAAATGAAAAGGAAAGGTTCAAATGTCAATGATATTGTATATGGTTACCTTCATAAATTCAACACTTGACTCTAGTGGATTGTCTCTTCTAAACAGCAACAAGAATGTTTCTTCTGTAGGTAAAATCTGAGCCAACTGTAAAACATAAAACACTTAAGGAAACGTTGAAGTAAAGCAAACGAGCTCCATTGTTACACCAATAAACACAAAACAGTTCACTGATTAATTTAAGGGTTTAATATAAAGTATAAAACGTGAAAATATCTTTAATGTTTTCAATGCACACATACACTTTTCCGAGTCTTATATTTTAATGATGTTTTGAATAAGAAAGAAATTATGTTTAAAGGAAAAATGAAAATTACAATCTTTTTAAAAGGCAGTTAAAATATATATTAGTTCCAACTACAAAGTTTGCCAAAGAAAAACAAACCCGTTAAATTATTGAGAAGCATGTGGATTGTAGTTTGAATGCTGCTTCATTTGATATCAACAGACATTTTGTTTTGATAAAAGCTTACTGTGACCTATAGTATCTTACATCCATGTGATTTGGACTCTGGTGGATAGTTATCTCATTGGCAATCTACCACATCTCCTTATTTTTATATCTCTGTCCTTATTGTGTCCTGTGAGATCAGTTAATCCAATTGCTTTGCAACGATAGGTATTCTCCGTAGTAGCATTATAATGTAAATCACGGGTTAGTTTGTTCTACAGACATTTATATATTCTTAAAGTTTCCATAGAGAGACTGTGACATCATATGTAATATTAAAATATGTGTATCATACATTGAAGAGGACTAATGCAAACTTTTATGAAAACATTTATAACAATTTGATAACATGCTCATCTGCGTTCTTTTGTCTAACTCATTCATGTTTAACGCTCATAACTGCACGATGCGGAGGGGTGTTCTTCATAAATGGCGGTATACTCAGACCTGCCGCTGGAATGGATCACTCTTATATGTCAAATTTATCACGTGGGTGCAGCTATATATAAATACAAATCAATTGGTGGTGATTGATCTGTGGGTGGGTCATTTATTTTCATCTTTCAATTATATGTCTGCAAATACTGTGCACCACTCCTTATATCTAATTAGTATGAGTCATCCAATCTTGCTAACATCTTTAGCTGCTATAATTTTTATTGACAATAGTGCAATAATTCTTTTAGATCGACTAAGAAAGATGTCACAGATTGTATATAAGATAATTGAATAATATATGAACGGAACAATGGTTTTGCCATTAAATATATATGCATATGGGTCTGTATTTCCTATCAATATAAAAAAAGGAGATGAGGTATTATTGCCAATGAGACAACTATCCACCAAAGTTCAAATAAAGTGGATGTAAGCAATTATAGGCAACCGTACGGCCTTCAACAATGAGAAAATCCCATACCGTAAAGTCGGCTATAAAAGGCCCGGACATGAAAAATATGAAACAATTCAATTGAGAAAACTAATAAACTTCATTTTATGAATTGGACTGATTTGTCAAACCGACATCATTCCCCAATCCGTGTAACTTTGGCGAGAATATCTTTTATTTTTTGCAATCTGCCATGGCATAATTTCTGTGTAGTATGAAACAATGCAGTTGCAAGTAGTATATATATATAAGCTAACGCTTTATGTTAAGATACAATAGATGTTATAGTGATTATGTTACTTCCACACGTTAAACTTCAACTGAAAGTTAAAAAAACGATCTCAACTGCTTGAACTTAATTATTTTAGTTACGATTCCACATATACATCTTGTATACAGTAATATACAGCAGACTTTGATCGCAGCCTGTAATTAAAACTTCCCTTAACTTTTCTTGAAAGTAATTGCTTAAGATTGGATTTTACGGGGCAACCAAAATCTGATATTTGTGCTAGTAAAATAACATTTTTTCACAAAGCTTGAAAATTAGACCACTTATATTAATTGTCATTCAATCTTAGCATTATTGTGTAGTATTGGATTTTTTCTTCTTCCTGGTGTGCTTTTCTGATAATCTGTTTGATGAAATTCAACATATTTTTTTGTGATTTTCAAGTTACTTTCCAGAAAAAACAAATTGACATCATATGAATTTTTGTGAGTAGTGACTACGTTTGCTTCGAGTTTGGAAAAATCTGACACAACAGCAAGTTTAAGAGGAATTTGCGTATTTGCCTTTGATAAGAATCGATAGAGTATGGCTTTGTTATGTAACTTTTTCCTTCTAAGATATGTTATAAAAGCTTACTTCTGCCTATAGTAGCTCACATTACATCTAGAAATTGACAGTGCGGGTCGGTTGAACACAAAACTTTACGACAAAAGAGATTATTTCAATTTCCCAATTGTGAACTTTCATTTCTATGTAGCAACATTCCCACAGCGATTACATACGGAGTATATATATCCCAGTTGATACAATATTCCAGGGCTTGTATTTCCTATCACGATTTCCTTGAAAGAGGTGTACTGCTCACAAGGAAGCTATTAAACCAAGAGTTCCAAGTGGTGAAATTGAAATAATCCCTTCGTAAATTTTACGGACGCCATCACGAGTTATGAAATATTGTATCACATATGACAACGGATATGTTCCAGTTGTCGTAACCTCAATCCTGTTCTCTTTTCCCCGAATGTGACCTACCGTATAAGACTTATCAACGGGTGTATACTTTCATGAGCAACACGACTGGTGCCACATGTGGCACAGGATCTGCTAACTCTTTCCGAGCACCTTAGATCAACTCCGGTCTTTTGGTGGGATTCGTGTTCGGATTTTTAAAACCTGTCATATAGATTACACTGCTTGCGTAATTGGAATAAACTTGTAATAGTGTTAATTTCCAGACAATTTTAACAATTAAAAATATCATGCAGAGGGTGTGAAGGGTTGAAGGGATTTTCAAAAAGCTCTGATAATGTGAATCTAGGTTAAGAATTCTTATAAGGATGTTCGTGAAAATATGTTTCCAAAATTGTCACCTTATGTTTTTAGTTATAATCATATACCTTTTGGTTATTTGTGTCATTTTTAGTGATGTCTAACTGACGTATATCTTAGAGGTATTTTTTTTTCGTAAATATGTTCCAAAAAAGAGGTGAAAGATACCAAAGGGACAATTAAACAGATAAGTCGAAAATAAACTGATAACGCCATGGCTAAAAAAAAAGGGGAAAAGACCAACAGACAAACAACAGTTGTTGCTCATGTTAGTACAAACCCGGTAATAAGTCTAATTCAGTAGGTCACATTTAGGGAAAAGGGGACGGGATTGTAGTTACGACAATTGGAACATATTCGCTGTCATCTGTGAAACGGACCTTCGAAAAAGTCTAACCAAACAATTGCATTACAAACATTCGCACAACTCTTACAAAATAGATATACTTTTCTTGTTTCATTTGAATTAAAAAATAAAAACCATTGTTTTACTCATTCGTTTGATAAATTTGCGAAATGTTCCATATTGTAAAATAGTTGGTCCAATCATTAGTTTCCGATTTATGATTTCGTTATAAACACATAAAAAACTGGTACCAAAGGAATATCGAGGCAACAGAAGTTTACAGATTTTCAAAACGTCAATCAATCCAAAATACAAAACACCAAAAGAAAAACTTTTGGGTGAATCGCATGAACCACAAACGGAGTGAAATGTTCATTGATAGGGTAAGAGCCTTAATAAACGTTCATTATATTAAACTATAATCCTGGTACCTTTGATAACTATAGTGTTAACAGCCACTTTCCCCTGAAACTGTATCTGTATCGGTTACCCTTAAAAACAATCTTTATCTCATCAGTGCAGACTTACAAAATGAATAATATCATGGTACAGGTACTAAGTACCCTTTTCTTTTCATGATTGTTTAGAAAACTCATATATGTTACCTCGGTTAGGATTTGCGATATTGTCTATCTAATATTTCGCAGAATGGTATTTGTATAAGACCTTAGTTTGATATATATTTACTTGCACTTTTTTTCCATTCGATTGCATTTAAGGCGTTTCTTTTTCTTTAAAATTAAAGTCAATCCAGCTTTTAACATCTTACGTTCGAAAATACTTCAAAATAAGTAAGAATTAAAATCATGATAATAAATATAAAGTCGGATCCAGTAAATAAACAAACTCATCAAAGATACCAGGCTTATAATTTTGTAGCGCGTTTCGTCTTCAAACGACTCATCGGTAACGCTCGATTCAAAAAAGTTAAAAGGACAAATAAAGTAAAAGGTTGAACAGTATTGAGGAATACAAATTGCTAAAGTTTACCAAAAAAAGACTAAGTTAATCTATTCCTGGGGTAGTAAATCCTTCGTATTTCGAACAATAATTTTTTTTTGTGCATATAACTTACCTCAGCGATATCTATTCTCCCATCAGAATTTTCATCAAAGGCATTGAGTACTAATTGTTTTGCATCTTCTAAGGCAGTTGGTGATAAGACCTGAAAATTCAAATCGTTTTGCGTAAATGTTGTGATTTATAGTTCTAAAAACGAAATTCAACAAAACAAATCACAGAAATATAGCGGTCAACGAGTGTAATGTTTTATATCATTCGTCAAGTTCTTCCCAAGATAAAATAAACTTTTAGTAAATTTAACGGAGACTAAAAACCTGATATCACCACGAAATTTCTAAAGAACAAAAACACATTTATTAAGAATATGTGTCCATAGGACACCATGCCTTAATCACATTATAATATTGCACGGTGATATCTAATTTGAATTCTAATATGACGTGCTTCTTCCGCTTTCTAAACAACACCGTGATAAAATTCTTGATATATCTATACTTAGCGCGGACTCAGAGATGTACATATTGGTGACTGTTACTATTTACCTCCCACGTAAATCCACATGTATCGTAACTTATGTGCAAACACTATGTCAATTTCGTTGTGTTCAAATTGAAATTGAAAAAAAAACCTACAGAATTGTTATTCCTATTCTAATGCATAACAAAAAGAATTAATGCACAAGAGCTTAAAAAATATATAAAATCAAAATAAAATAAAATTCCGCGAAATTTCATGAATGATCTTGGCGCATTAACGTCATGTCATAACATGACATCATACGAATGAAAATTCTCAAGCTGAATGTTTTCCGTAACGAATACGCCCTACATTCGGATAATATTGCATTAAAATGGAGTTTTGAGGTAGGTGTTGTTTCATTTTCTATTCTATTGCATTATTCGCACATTTGAGGATTTCAGCAAGTCAACATGGCGGCTCACTCCTTACTTACGACATGTCAACTCTGGATTTGACAGTAAATAGTAGCCAACGAAAAACAAATGTTGGATTAAGAATTATGAGAATTGAACACATTTTTTCTAGTTGTTATTAAAGAAATAATTCATGTAAAACTTAGATTTATTTGAAATTTGTAGCTTTTATCTTACAGAGGGTAAACTAGAACAGCCATACACACGGCAATCTTACCTTCGCTTCAATTTTAAAATTACCGTATTTGTCTTATTAGAATCGAAATAATTCATGGAAGCCATAGATTTGTTGGACATTTACACATAGCCTGGGCCATGTGTAAATGTCCAACAAATCTATGGCTTCCGTGAATTATTTCATAAATATATGTAAGCTCACATTATAACGAATATTTTTACTAACTCCAAAATCAATGTGAGCACAATTTCATGTTAGACTACCTTAAATCAAAACTTTGACCTAATAGGAAACGAACGAAGGGATTGTCTAAATGACGGATGGACGTACAGACCAGACAAAATAAAGCATCTCACTACTGTAAGCGGGGCATAACAACGATCATCACCCAGTAGCTTGTTTTAAAAGTAAATCGTCCTATTCTCCTATTATCTCAATCATTAGAAAGATAAAAGATAAGGATAAAAATGCTTATTTTACATCAGTACATTTTTTTTTCGAAATTTCAAACTTCCATAGTTATCTAATGAATAATGATATGAATGATATGTAATGGACTATAAATACATGTAATATAAACGATAATTTTATATACCAATCTCTTTAAAAGTATAACAGCTTGATTAGGTTTATAGATTTTTGTGTGTTATTTGATCATTATATATCGAATGATTAATTGCAATACTTGTAACTGTTTGGAGCGATGTTTGTGACTCTCTTCTTGCTTCTTCTCGTATGATCTTCATTGTTCTTATGAATCCAAATATAAAACCATAGAGACAGTTACAATTGGTTTCCGTTGAGAAACATAATTAATATCAACGTGACAACAATGCAAGGAATAATTGGAAAAAGAAACAATAATTCAAGATCAGATATCGTTACTAGTAATGCATATCTGTCGAAATAATTCAAAAGTCACAAACGTATATTTCCATAGTAACAATGGGAAACCCAGAGGAAATTTCTGAACTATGACAGTTGAAAATTGGCAAACACTAAGTAATGCTTCTACAGGAAAAACTACTGTTTATATTAATTATCCTATATTGTTAAAGAAACACCGGAAAACTATGAGGGCAATTTATCAAAACTAATAAGACAGTTCAAGCCTGTAATTCAAATTGAAATAAGTAAAACAAAATAACACAGATTTATATATTGATATAAGTACTATATTAGCAAAACTAAAACTTCAGCATATAATCTCCCTGTGAATAGAGATACGACGATAAACTCTTTGGACAAGTTACAACATTAACAATTACTTAAAAGAGATGCAAGAAATTGCACTGTAAGAATTATAAGCCATTAGAATGAAAGTTACAAGACAAATTCTTTCAAAATGTTACAGCGAACACTTACACTGGTAAACTAAATGCAGAATGCGCAAAAACCATTAAAGCTTTAAACATTGTATACATTCTAAAAATATTGTGAGCAATTTATATTCACATTTTGCATTGTAGGTCAACAACATAACAATGAAACAATACCCACCCCCTCATTATCTGTCAGGCTATTCTGACCATGTTTTGGTCGTTCTTAATTGTCTTATTTCGTTCGTTCATTCTTTTCGAAAGAGTCGAATGTTTGTGGTTGATATGGTATGTTGGAGCAGTATCTGCTTACCCTTCCGGAGCACCTGAGATCACCCACGGTTTTTGGTGGGGTTCGTGTTGCTCAGTCTTTAGTTTTCTATGTTATTTTTGGTGTACTGTTGTTTGTCTTTTGGTCTTTTTCTCTTTTTTTGCCATGGCGTTGTCAATTTATTTTCGACTAATGAGTTTGAATGTCCTTTTTGGTATCTTTCGCCTATCTTGTACGGTCAAATATGTTGTTGATATCTGTTATTCATCATATGTATTATTAACTTGGCAATTTCAAAAGCGCAGCAACAGCTGCCAAATAAACCGATTTTTACAAACCCCAGCGATGTTATCATCTAATCAGCGAAGAAAAAACAGTATTGCATTTCTATATAAGTGTAATTACCTATCTTGTGACAGCGGTTTATCATAAATGAAAATCTATAAAACTAATCAAGCTGTTATAACCATTAATGATATAGAATTATACACTATAGCTTAATACAGATGTTTGTATAACAGTTTCTTGTATCAACTTCTAGATAAATATCACCTAAGTGGAACGACTTGTGTCACTAAAGAGTATATGCAATTTAACTACAGCATATCAAGCGGCTGGTTGATTTCGTTTTATCTTTGAAATTTGTCTTAATCAAAATCGGTACATATATTAGAATTTAAACATAACTACAAACACTTTTATACGAACAAATTATCGTCCGATTTCTGAAGCACTCAACATAAAATGTGATTATTGTATGTTGCAGTTTTCATAAATAATGTTGACTGATCTTGTTTCTGTTTGAAACGGGATGGGAATGGGGGTTATGTAATAACTCGTTGCTTGGATTATCATTCAATCATCATTAAACTGTTATTTCTTTTTCAATCAGGATTTCTTGAAAATTGCTATATTCTAGCACATTATAAGTCTGAAACTGCCAATTTAGTCTTATTATAATCCGACAAATCTGAACATGAAATATTAAAAGTACTAATAGAAATTTTTTCCATATCTTCCTGGCAGTAAATCAGCCATTTGTTTTAATAGGTTAACTACTGTTGCCTAACAAATTTCAATATCTGTTTATTTCAGTTCAAAATATTTGATTTTGAAGTAAAGCTTATTATGTCGTCAGGAATTGTGACCTCACTCAAAATATCATATTTTTGCAACAATTCGTCCATATGTGTTAAAATATGATATAATATTTGTACAAATGTAAATACAGTGATCTTGGTGAAATTTAAATTATAAAGTTGTTAGGAAAATCAATAAATATATTTCATTATTTGAAAAATTATAACCGTATATTTCATATGATGGATGAATTATGTTCTATGGTGTCATTAGCGGTGTGAAATAAAGCTTATTATTGAAATGTTCTCTTATCCATGATTTGTCAAGGGATTAGAACCAGAAATATAGAATTTTATTTCGGGAAATTATATTCAAAGTACTTCAACATACTGACACGCGAAAGATGATTTTATATACGAATATGGAAACCTGTTTTATTCATCTGTTAGGTAAATGGTAACGCTTTGATTGCTATTTAAATTCTTCACCGACAATAGTAGTATTATGAATTTTCACGGGAACCATCAGTTTGTACAGGTTTATTCTTACGCTTTTCAGTTACTGTCATTTAAGTGAGTTTTGTGTAATGTGATAAATTATTACAACAACGACCTGTTGTCACCTAAGTTACTCCAATTCTAGATGAAGAAGACAAAATAAGGTAAAATACAAATATGTATTAATATGATTTGTATGAAACCTCAACAATAATACGTAAAAAGGAACAACGGTTATCGCTAAAAATACCGCACGGCACAATAGTCCACATCAATCGCCAACATCCAACGAAAAAACATACACACACGGAAACGAACAACTGATGGTTCAGATAGTCTGACTTGATACAGTTGGTTAAGCAATGTCTAATTCTTAAACACAATTAGCTAAGATTTCAGTTTCATGAAAGAAATGTTTCAGGTCAAGATTCAAGAAATAAATCAAACATCATAAACAGATTCATGCCACCGATTTGGCACTTTTCATTCAATTTCCACTCTAATCTCATTTATATATGTACACCGTGATTGGATCCGTTGTGATAGAGTACCGGGTACGTTTGTTGCGAAAATGTAAACGTAATGATAAAAGTTCTTCATTTAAGTCGGTTTCATGGAAGTGGTTGAATTGAATGAGGTAGTCGATATTTAGTTGTATATCTACATACATTATTATCAAGAATGTTGTATGCAAGGGGTTTATATCAAACACCGTTTTTCCTACCATCGGGTTTACATTACTACTGGAAGATTCGCCAAGTATCAAGTGCATCGGTGATGGCAATGATTTAAAAAGATAAACAGCAGTTTCATAAAATATGTTATTATGAGTAAACACAGGTTGCAACTTTTTTATATTACAAAG